AAAAGAAAGAAATCCACTTGATTTCTCCAGCAGTAACTATAGTATGGCTAGTACAATGGGAAATACATGAAACATTTAATCAAAATAGGAATTTAAATCATGTGACTGGTTAGTCACTCATTTCTGAGATCCATAGGCAAGTAAACATGGTGTGTATATACATATTAATATATGTTATATACATAGGTATGTAACACATGTGTGACATGCACCATGTGTATATATATACACATGTATATGTATATATAAATATACATATGTGTGTATATATGTATAAATAAATAAAATTGTTGTGTAACAATGGCGAAGGCAGTTTTAAAGCCATTATATCTTGTTAAGGGGTCAGACTTTTAACTCAATTCCTATGTTACGATTTTCCTTATATTCTAGCATGGCAGAACTAGCTTACAAAGAGCTTAGAAATCAATTACCTGGACTTAACAGGAGCTTGTTCCAAAGCCCACCACAATTGTTTGCTTCACTCACCTAACAGATTCTTAGATGAGCCAAGGATTAGGTCATCCGTCTCTTTTTTAACCTCTACCTGTCTTTTTCCCTGTCTGAACCCCACCTTCCTATTCCATGGAGAAAGTGAGTCACTGAGATAACATTCTGTCACTGAAGCACAGTGTTTGTACATCCATTCTCCACCTTCTTGCCTTTGTCTAGCATGGAATTCATTGTTTCTGTCGAAGCCTGTGCCCCCACCTAAGCAGGGATGTGTACCAGCGATTCTTTCTTCATTTTTACATGTCGTCATATTTTTATTGGCATCTACTAAAAGAGAAATACCAAACTGTGACATTCCAATTCTTTTCCTTTCACCTGCAGGTCAGGTCAGCAACTTGAAATTTCTGAAAAGATTTATTTGTTTATTTTATGTGTTTGGCTTGTACCGTGTGTGTGCCTGGTGTCAATAGAGGTCAGAAGAAGGCATTGGATCCTCTGGGACCTCGGTTCCAGATGGTTGTGAGCCATCATATGGGCCTGGGCACCAAAGCCCAGTTAATCTGCAAGAACTGGTGCTCTTAACCACTAAACCATGGCTCTCCAGCCCCTAAACTCCTCTTGCTGATCATCCTATCTAGTGGGAATTGGGTTATAGTTTTATTGAAATTTATTAAAAGGTAGCAAATTGGGAGTAGTTCATATTTAAGACAAACCCATTATACCATTAAAAGAGAAACTATACATTTCATCTTATGCTATTTGCTGCTTTTAGTTAAAATGCATGCTTTTCTATTTAACATAATGTAATACATGTTTGTAAGACTAAGTAAAGAAGTCCATACATAAAAATCTACATAATTGTACTAATCATGATTGGGAAGTTTTAATCTTCAGGGAATTCCGTTTGGCCTTTGAGCAGCATTGTGCAACCGGCATGCTTCAGTAAAATTCAAACAAACATTATATTGTACTTATTTAAACTATCAGTTTCAATATGACCTCATTAAGTCATCTAATGGGAAGAAAGCTGGAGCTAGTGTCATGGGTTTACAATGGTCTCTTCATCCTACTCCATGACCAGAGGTGTTCAAACATAATTATCTGCTACTTAGGATAATTGGTATGATAATTGCTCTCTGACAGTGAAGCTGGTGACTGCAGAAGGGCTATGAGGACAGGAGAGCTGCTGGTTACTGGAAGCCTCAAGCTCATCTCTGACAGGCTTCTGCACAACTTTTGTAGAGCCGGTGGAGCATCCATTAGAGACCAAAAAATAAAAAAATAAAAATAAAATAAAAAAGTCTTGTGGCCAGAGCTATCCCAGACCATCCTCTAGGGCCTGCCATATTAGCTTTCTGTGTACGCATCCGTCAGTGGCTGACTCTCCACAGACTATGTCTAGGGTGAGGGGTAGAGAGCTGGAGTGAGCAGGAACATCGAAAGGCAGACATTTGGAGCTGTGTTAGGAGATATTTCTGGAACCCTTTTGGGTCTCTAGGCCAAGTAGACTAATGTTAGTGTGAAGGACCAGAGGGTGGTGGGACACTAGGTGGCTTGGATCTTTAGCAACGAGTCCAGTAACTGCATTGCTCACCTTAGAATGAAGTGTACTCATCTCTAGAGGATGTTCATGATGAAAGCCACAGACCGATGAAAACTGTGTAAGGAATCAGAATTGAGGCAAACGGATGAACCGCAGAGGACTATGGGACTCTGTGGAGGGAGCTGGGCCCAGGCATGTAGGGGCTGCCACAGCAAAGGTATACAGAAAAACAGTCTTGAGAAAAAATTAATAAACTTGCAAAGTAAAACTATCATGTTCCTAAAATAACTTTCAGGCTATTAAAAACCCTTAAAGTTAACCCTTTCTAGTTGATACTTCATACCGAGAAATTTTTCATTGCTTTCAGCTCACTTATTTTTCCAGAGTGGAGGTAGCTATGTCCTTCCTCACAGTCTCCCTAAGTAACTGTGGTACTTTTTAGAAGCTATGAAGCCACAGTATTTTAATATTTCAATTCTTATTGCATGAAATACTGCTTTATATCTTGAGAAAAAAGAGGTAAAAAAGAAAGATATTCAGATAAATAAAAATCATTATTTACCATTGCTACTGACATACTACTTGGCCTCGAGTTGGTTCTAGCAAAACAATCAGAAAGTGTGTGACGTTCCTCATGAATAGCAGCAGTGTTTGTTCCCTTGGGAGCCTGATCGGCTACTATGAGAATCAGTTACTCGTGCCTTTTTTTTCTTCTTTTGGAAGGTACCAGTTAACTTTTTAACACTATGTAAAATAGTGTTTCCAGGTCTTCAAAATTCCATACAAACATGCAACTAGCCTGGAACTGCCATGCAGCTAAATTTACTAACAGAACTTAGACTGTGGGGGGACAAGATCGGGTTTGAGTGACCACTCTGTTGCTCACAACCTGGGGCAGTTTGGGTTGTGGTGTGTTCTGTTTCTATGAAGTGGGTCTTGCTATTTAGCCCAGGCTGACTTTGAATGTGCTCTCACCCTGCCTAAGCCTTCCAAGTGCTGGGGTTACCCATGCGTGCCACACGGCAGACTTCTGGGAAAGCTTCTGGAGCCGATTTCCCCATCTAGGATAAACAGCCCTTGGTGACTGACTTAGTGCTCTGTGTACAGTACTCCGCCCACTGCCTGCCAGGTGCCACATCCCCGGTCTCGCTTTTATACTTTACTGTAAACTAGGTCAGATACAAGGTGGAGAGCCACCGAGAAGAAAAGATGGGAGCTTTTAACGTTTGCATCATGGGTTGTTTCTTATCTCCTTAAGTACTGGAAACAGGCTGAAGACAGGGTAACTAAGGCATAGCTTTTATGTTCTTTTTTTTTAAGATTTATTTATACATTTATTATGTATACAACATTCTGCCTTCATGTATGCACGCACACCAGATCTCATTACCAGATGATTATAAGCCATCATATGGTTGCTGGGAATTGAACTTAGGACCTCTGGAAGAGCACTGACTGCTCTTAACCACTGAGCCATTTCTCCACTTCATTACCTGGAGGGGGAGGTGCCCCTCTCTTGTGAAGTAGTGTTTATTGCCTCGGCAACCTGTTGAAGTTTACTTCACAAGGTAATCTATAGTCAGCCTTTAATTCTGTGTGTCCAGGCAACAGAGCACGGACAAGTTACTAGTCAACCTTAAGCAATGTAGCATGTGCCCACATGGCACCTTGGTACAGGGTTGCAAGAAGCAGAACTGGACTGAATGATCCACAGTTACCTCGTGTGCCTTGTGCCTTACAGCTAAAAAACAAATTAGAAAGGGATGCAGGACTAGCACACTAGAGCCCTGGGAGTGGTATAAGGATGTCATCCTTGGAGCCGTACCAGAGTTCAGGGACACTGGAATGACAACATTGATTTGCAGGTATCCTGATAATGACCCTGAATAAGCATGGATGTATATATAATTAATTCTACAACAAGCAGCCCTGGAGTTCCTGCTATTGATGTTGGTACAGGACTGTGGGCTAGCCCTGTGTCTATGCAGTGGGCTAGCCCTGTGTTTATGCAGTCTGTTTTCCCTCCCACCTTACCTTGAACCCTGACGGAGCTTTTCTGGTAAACTTGGAAGGCCCATGAGTCTGAAGCTGGGAGCAAAGCAGCCTGAGCTCTGTCTCCGAGCTCATCCTGACTTGGTCTAGAAGGCTGACCTAGCTTTGCTGCCCCCAAGATCTAAATCATCTCTTGGGTCCCACTGTGTCCCAGATTTTTGTCTATAACTAGTCTGTAACCACACTCTTGCCTTCTACAAGGCCAAGGTGTGTCAGATTCTGTTTGATCTTGCCCCCAGGACAGAGGAAACATGGGAAGGCTGAATAGCCACTGGCCTCAGAATATGCATGCCACAAATATCGGCCTCCTCCATTTATCCATCTCCTGAATATGCACGTATTGCCAGTGAGAACAGACATTTACCTGTGCATTTTCAGAAGCACCAAACAGTGAAGGATGGCAAATTAATTAGTGAACTCGAGGAGGAAAAAACGGTAGGATAAAAAAGTCACTGCTTTCACAGTTCCCTGCAGCCATGAATAATGGTTGCGAAGAGCAGAGCGTATATTCTCAGTTATTTTTCCATTCCAAATATTATACCATTGGGAATCAATCATTAACGATTAATTTAAGGGAATGCTCAGGGTAGGGAGGCAGTTTCTAGGTTTTGTTTTGTGGGTTTTTTTTTTTCCCACCCAAACCAAATTAGGCATTGTGCGTGTGTCCTGGTTTCCGGTTGCTGTCTGCTGCGGTGTTTCCTTCATCTGTCTTCACTTTTATTACTTCAGTGCTTGCACAGAGAACAATAGCTTCGTGTTTCCTAGTTCAGATGTGGGTGGGTGTGGCTGAGGGCCATCACATTCATTGAGAACCCTAACAAGTTGCTTTGTGAGGAGGAACCAGTGAGGAGGACAGGAGTCCAACAGCTCTTGAATGTGTCTTTGTAATTGAGTGGGAAAAGGGAAGGCCACCTTTATTTCTTTTCTTTCTGTTTTTCCTCCCATCCCTCTTTAGACAAAACCTGTTGCATTTGCAGTTCGGACCAACGTCAGGTACAGCGCGGCCCAGGAGGATGACGTCCCGGTGCCAGGCATGGCCATCTCCTTCGAGGCAAAGGATTTTCTGCATGTTAAGGAAGTAAGGAAAACTTTCAGCTTCTTTCAGTGTGAAGGTGATCTCACCTTCGACTCTCACTGCCTTCTTATTGCTGTGAGAAAGCATCTGGTCTAGCTGCGGCTGTCTAAAATACCGCTAAATCAGCGGCTCACAGCCTTTTCGGTATAAATAAACTTAATGAGGAAGGAGGCAGAGGCTCCTGGTAGGAGCTAGGGCCCCTCTGGGCTTTGTGCCCTAGAAATTAGGAACTGTTTTGTTAGATAATCCATTTTTATGTGTGACCTGCACTTTATCTTGAAATAATTAACCTTGATTAACTATGCGTGATTTTCCCTGATGTGTGAACTTGGAGCTACACTAAGGAAGAGGGTTTATTGTTTTGTTTTTTTCTGAGACAAGATTTTACTCTGTGGCCCAGGACTTTCTATGAGGCCCAGGCTCTGAAACTCACTATATACAGGCTGACCTCAAACCTGCTATAATCTTCCTTCTATCGCTGCTCCACCTCATCCACCTGAGAGCTAGAACTGTCGTTATGAGTCACCATGCCTGCCTCCTGGGAGAAGGTTTTGTGGCTTTCTGCAGTGGAAAGGAGCGGTGGGAGTCAGAACAAATGAGACAAGAAGATGATGCCAAGGAATTTCCTCTTCCCCTAAGCTGACAATGACGGTCCGAACATTGGAAAAATTCACCTTTAATTAAGTTTTATTAGCTGTTCACATGTCACGCAGTTATTCTGTGGGATACCACGGTGACAGTTATTCTTCCTAAATGACAGTCTGGGGGCACATGAGCTTTTTATTTTGATTTTTTAATTTACAGTTGGAGGAATTCACAGGGAGCTTATGGAAATTAACTGACAAGTGAACTAGGGGGCGAGAGGGAAGGAGATGCTGACTGCCCACTAAGAGAGCTCACAGCATCAAAACATGTAAATACACACGTTCAGAAAGGACAGTGAGCCACTCTACAACAGGAAGTTGACTAACACAGGGACTTTCTTGATGCCAATACTTTGAGCAGAACCATTTTTTATTATGGAGAGAAAAAGGAAAAAAAAGAGTTTTGAGATGTTTGAGAATAGATTTAATTGAGGAAAATAAAATTAGATTGTGAAGATTCAAGAGATAAACTGTCAGCACAACATGAGAAAAAACATGTGTGAACACAGTACTGTAAGGTTGTAAAACTGCACAGAAGTACACTTTGCTGGTACAAAATATTTCAGGTACACTTAATATCTCTCTCAATATTAATACTTTCAGTTAATCCCATTTATAAGGGAAAGGGCTCCATAAGGCTTCTGAGCTCCTGTCTTTTGCTAGGTATGGACAATAACCTTGGAAGCTTAGCACAGACTCAGCCTGGTCCTAAAGGCAGCACTGGGAAGGGGAACACAAGGGAACGCAAAGCCTTCATTGAACTGCTGGCTGAGAGCATCAAGCATATTTCACTCTTCTGAGCTGAGCCCATGAAGCCAAGGGCTTCTTGAATTCTCGTATTCGATGCATGCTTCTAACTGCCATGTTTCTCTCTGCTGAAAAAGGTTATAGAAGAAATCAATTCAGATCTTTCTGTGCACTAATTCATTCTAATACTTTTGATTTTGTGTGTAGAAATTTAATAATGACTGGTGGATAGGACGATTGGTCAAAGAAGGCTGTGAAATCGGATTTATTCCAAGCCCGGTCAAACTAGAAAACATGAGGCTACAGCATGAACAGAGAGCCAAGCAAGGGAAATTCTACTCCAGGTATGAGGAAAACACCAGCTGTTTATGTATAAATGCAGACAATGCCCTCTCTTCTGCCCTGTTATTTCTTGCTAAGAGCTGTGATTCTTATTATGTGTTAAGCAGATGCTGATACAGTTCATGGACAGCCCTTTAAAAACACTCCATTCCTGCTTCTGATTTCTAGCCCACTTGAGAGAGAATCAGATTATGATCATTAATAAAAGCAGCTAAGGTCACAAAGCATTAAGGTTTGCCTTCAGCACAGAGGAGACCCTGAAGTCCTAATCATTTGCTGAACATATTCAGGCACGTAGCAGCCATAGTGAAATCCCAGTGTCTGTCTGTAGCTGTCCTGGGTGGCTGGCAGATTCTTTAGGGATATCAATCTTGGACATCACTGGGCAACAGCAGCTTCTGTGGTCTGTTAGTTTCATTTTCACCCGCCAGATTCGATTTTCAGTTCTCCCAATGCTGAGCGTGTAAAAAGACACTCTGCATAAAGCACATTAAAATTGCCTTTGCGAATAGCAATTAGCTGAGTTATATAATAGGCCAGGCCTATTACTCTGACTGCAGCTTCCTGGGAGGCTTAAGCTTCTTCACCAAGATACTCCTTAGGTGGGCTTCTCAGCCCTGTAGTGAATTTCATACTGAAGTCTGTATAGCCAAGCTGGAGAACATGGCATGCTTCTTCTGACACGGATGGATGGAGGGGGATAAAGAAGTCTTTACCTTCATCTAGATAACTGGGTTTCTGTTTTCACTCCTTTATATCTTGCTTGTTTATCCAGTAATGTCATAAACTATGTTGTTAGTGATTCTATTTGAATGTTATCAGTATTCTTCACCTACTGTCAACAGAGGAGTGAAATCGAATATACCCAACCTAATTAAGACCAACATTTGATCATTGTTACACTCCCAGTATCTCTCAACTTATTCTACTGAACTGGTTAATTTTTCTTATAACTGTACTCTGACTCTGCTGTTTGATTTTACTGTATCCTTTAACAACCTTTTTCTAGTTATGAGTAAGTACTTCTACTCACCCTGAAAGTGTTTACATTTGCCTCTTAACACTTTAGATATTTTGTGAGGACATAATCAGAGTCGGTGGGTTTTTTTGTTGTTTTTGTTTTGTTTTTTAAAGACAGGGCTTTTCTGTGTAGCTGTGGCTATCCTGGAACTTGCTCTGTAGACCAGACTGTCCTCGAACTCACAGAGGTACACCTGCCTCTGTCTACCAAGTGCTGGGATTAAGGGAGTGCACCACCATGCCAGGCTCAGCCTCAGAGTCAGTGTTTATATATATATGATATATAATAATATATAATATATTATAATAATATATATCGTATATAATACATATTTCAGAAGATTGAAATTTGTGTATATATGTACACGTATACTTATCCATATACTTATCTGTATTATATATACACAAATATGCATATATGTATGGATATACAAAGATTTCAAAGTCTGACAAAAACTGGGGCTGGAGAGCTGGCTCTGTAGTTAAGAAAGAGTAAAGGTTGCTCTTCCAGAGTACCCACGTAACTGTCACCCACATGGAGTCTAACAACCATCTGTATCTCCAGTTCCAGGGGATCAGATGCCCTCTTCTGGCCTCCAAGGACATTGCATATAGATGGTATATTTACATATGTGTACACAAAACACAAATAATAATGAAAAAGTTTTAAAAGGCTAACAGTCATCAAAGGCAGTGATACTGGCACACGGTTCAAGACTTTGGCCTGTAGATGGCATTCAACGACCCATCTGCCTCTGAACCATTTAGGGGTTGGCAGCATCTGTCTAAAAGTAGAGCCAACTCATGCTTGAACTAAGGTGGGACTTAGGATTGGGGGAAATAAAACCAAAGGTAAAAGGAACAGCAAGGAAGTGCTTGGTCTTAACCATCAGCATCCTTGTGGAATTGCCAAAAATGATGATGCTGCAAGTTCTACTTTTTATGAGCTGTATACACTCCTGCGTGTCCTTATTGGATGTGCAGAAGTATTTAAACTCTTAGCGACATAGAGTAAAATGCTTGGGATTGGCTTTGTGTATTAAAATGCTAGAAGACTAGAAAAACATTCAACCAGTCAGTGAGGGCAGATGTTTTTTCTGCATGCCAGTATTTAGTTTTGTCAGCAGTGCCCCTTGAGGCACAGCCGTGGTCCACAGTTCTTTTTAGCAGGACCCGGTCCATCCATGGTAAGAAGCACTGGGCACTGCAGTTATCTTGCCTAATTTCATGGCATTCTTATTCTGTCGGCACAGTTCTGGGATCTTCACGTGTTAAGAGTTGACACACATTGATATGTACTCGTGAACCGTACATTATACTAGCAACTCCAAAGTTTCTAAGATATAAGCATACGCTCCATCACAAAATATCTTGTAATTCTTTCATTTTAATTTACAGAATCTTGTAATTTATATTCTTTACTTTTAAAATTATCAAACAAGATACCAGATGTCATTATGGCATTTTCTTACAAGTGTGTTTTAGTAGATACTCAGTTCATAAGTGTTGAATAAAATCTTCACGATGCAACAAAGTAGAATCCTTCTTGTTAGTCTTGTTCTGAAAATGTTCACTATCAATTTCTAGTTAGTTCATATTACAATCTGTATTTAAGTTTCTTCTTTTGTCTTAAAGATGGATAAATTGGGGTATCGCTATGATTTTCATTTACAGATTGCCATGCAAGGTATACTTTAAATCTTAAGATACTAAAAATAATCAATCTAAGCCAAGGGAACTGGTGTTAGCCTTGAGGTCTTAGACCTTACCTACAAGCCCTATAAAAGCAAAGGCAAAGGAAATCTCTTCTGTCTACCCATCTGTCATCTGGGCATGGAACTAGAGGACTGTAGAAATTATCCAACTCTTCTCCCAAGGACTTTAAAAAATTAAACTCTGGGGGCTTGAAGAGGTGGCTCAGAGGTTAAGAGCAGTGACTGCTCTTCAAAAGATCCTGAGTTCAGTTTCTAGCAACCACATAGTGGCTCACAACCATCTATAATGAGATCTGGTGTCCTCTTCCAGCATGCAGGAATACATGAAGACAGAACATTGTATATACATAATAAATAAATCTTAAAAAAAAAAGAAAACCTATTAAGCCCTGAACTTCAAAACAGAGACATCATAAAACTGCTTCAAGGACTCCAAGAATCTCCATTGGGAAATGACTGTTTGTTTCCTTGTTAGAAATACACATTTTTGGTTCAATTAAAAACTCGATAAATTAGAACGTTTATTGAGCAATACAATGCTTTAGGATATAAAACAATTGTTAAGTTTAATCTGAGTTTTTGCTTTACTTCAGTAAATCAGGAGGAAATTCTTCATCCAGTCTGGGTGACATAGTACCTAGTTCCAGGAAATCGACACCGCCCTCATCTGGTAAGTAGGGGGTGAGTGCTGACCACGGCCTATGTCTTTTGTGCTGCCCCAGACTCCATTAGTTATGGGAATTTCAAACCTGCACATGTGAGAGTGTATCAGGAAGAAAAAGGCCCCCGTGAAATTAGGGACAGAATGGGTAGGTTTTTTTTTTCTTGGTATTGAAAATCAAGCAAGGAAATAGCCTGTGTTGCTCTAAGTTATTACAGAAGTGATAGCTGTAATCTAATTGCATACCTTAGTCCTACTATGACATATTGACAAGGGAAGAAAAGTTTTATGTGAGCTAGAATTTAAATTTCAGTTTATTTTATTGCATTTTGCCTGATAAATCTGTCATTGCAAAGCTGAAGTTCTTCTATAAATACTTCCTGAAAGTTGAAACCTTTTATCAAGTAAACATTTAGCAAAATGTTTAAGTGAGCAAACTCTGAGCACAAAAAGAAATGTCAGTTTAGGATCTATACTGGCTGGAAAACCTCACAGCAATTTAAAGGCACTGAAAATTAAGCTAGTCTACTCAGAGTAGACACTGAAGGTCTTGCAGTATTAATACAGGGCATGTCTACCACGGTGGAGGAGGAGTCGGGAATCCCTGTAGGCCTCCACTCCTGACCTTGTTCAGATGTGAGGTTACAGGGATTCCTCCCTAGCCATTACAGACACCGTAACTATCTAAAAGGCTGTCTCTGAAGACTCATAGGGGCTCTAACATGGAAGCAAGTTACATCAGCTAAAGCCCTGCTGGAGACACAGTTCTTCCATGCTCTCTGATAACACAACCTCGATTTGTGTTAATGCAATGCTGAAAAGCACCTGTATATTGGAGAACAAAGTAAGTCAGCCTGAACGTAAAATAATATTTCATTTTGGAGTCACGTGTTATCATTACTAAAATCCAACATTGAGATTGAGCTGGAAATAAAACCAAATGTAAGATGTACTATCAGAATATTTAGAGCTTGGGCTCTGTGATGAATTTCATATCAATAGCTCGATGGATCTAAAGGGATTCTTCAGAAAATCCTAGAGAAAATTTCCAAGTCCACTTCCAAGCACAACTAACCATTTCAGAGCAAATGTAGACTGGCCTCCAAGTGTAACTTTCATTTGTTTTGCTTACCAGAGTTCCTAACTATAATTTCCAGCTCACTGCTAGACCAAGGAGGAATTTGCAATTCCCATGAAATGGGGTAATCTCCAGTTGCACAACACGTAACTCACACTACACCTGTGCATAGACTTCATCCCCAAACTTGGCTTCACTTGACCCGAGCTCTAAGAGTAAGCTAAAATAAGTTTCTGAGTTTCTCTAAATCAAAAGGGATGGGACAAGAAAGTAAACAATAGTGAGGAATAATAAGTATTTATAAAATGTGTAAGCACTGCTTCCACGTAATGCTAATGTGTGCTAAGGTGTGGGATACAGGTCTGTAGTTAAAAGTGGGTGGCATCTCTCAGGAGAAGAATCCCCTGAGCTCAATGGCATGTATAGAAAACAGGAAAGTTGAAAAGTGTGTTTCTTAATGTGTTCTGAATATGATATTTTAGAAATCTTTCAGAATGAATCCAGACACTTCTAGACCTAAGTTAAAGCAAAAGGTCATCAAGTGCTAAGCTGGAAAGGGATTTGGGGCCCTTGGTGTTGAGGTGCAGATGAGTTTCCATCTGGAGCTCAGGCTTTGCCTGGGTGGCTGAATATGCCATCCTTGCCAAGGCTAGACCTGTATGCATCCCATTCTCTATGATTTTCCAGTTTTAATTCCTTTAATTTCCTTTTAAACAAATCCATCTGATGACCATAGCAGATGAGATTTTGTGGAGAGACCCTAAAATCCAACTCAGAAATGTCATCATAATGAAGGGCTGTGAGCTCTTGTATTTGTCATGATTTCTAGCCTCAGTTCCAATCAAGTTCTTGGATGGTACTGGTCCTTGAATGTGGTTTTCATAAGTCCAGTAGAAGGTAGCGAGGATAAAGTATATGGGAATACACCACAAGAAAGGAACCAGATTTGATGTTGGTTAAGACCCAATAAGAAGGAGATAGTAGCTTGGATCCTTTCTTTCCTATCTGGAAGTTGTTAATAGCAAGCTTCTGTATTGGGACTCATGACCTGCTTTCCATCCTCTTCAGGGTAACACTTCTCAAGTAGCACCACACAGAAACCTTCCAACATGAGCAATGAATGCTATAGTGTGGTCTAAAAGTCTAGGTCGATCCCAAACACCTGAAGTTTTCATGACTATGACATTCCTCTGCAGATCAAGGTCTGAACCTTTAACTAATTAGTTTGCAAAGACTGAAGAAAAAGAAAATCCCTACTCATAAAATAACAGAGTTGATACTGCAACATTGTGCAGATAAGTCAGGTGTTCACCCCTGTAAAGACTTCTGAACTAGTCAAATGAAAAGCAACTAAACAGGAAATCCCCAATATTCCAAGTCTGAAGCCTCTTGGATCACAGTAACTATAAAACTTCAAAATGCTGTGCCAAGATCAGATGCTCTTGGGTCCTTTGAAAAGGCCGGGGGAGGCTTCTGTAGGCCTCAGCTCAGCTTGTGTATCACAGGGCAAGGTAGCTGAACCTAAGCACCAAACTATAACTCTGATTTTTTTTGTCCCTTCTATCAACACATTATGGGATTTATTAACATATTTTGCCCCAGGCTTACTGGGGTGAATAAATTTTCCTTTCTTCTGCTTGACCTATTCTCAACCATAAAGTAATTACCTAGCAGGCCCAAGGGCATGACCAATGGGGAAATAAAAGGAATAAAAAGAAGGCCTTCAGAAGGTACCTCACCTGCTAGGCAGTGTAGGAATGGGTGTAACTCTTAAGGCAGGAGCGTTGGGTCTGCAACCTGGTACTGCTGGACTTCTGCCAAGAGGAGGCCACTTACATTCTGTGGGTTCAGTTTTTAAGTCTTAAAAACCAAGACTGTTTGAATTGATCTTTGAAACTTACTATTCTGTAGTTGATAAAAATTTTACAGCAATTTGATGTAGAAAGATTTCAGGAACTTGAAAATGAAATTATGCATCCTTTTTACATTGACTAGTTTTAGAGCTATATTTTCAGGCAAAAGGGTTTCAGAAGCGACAACAGGTCAAGCAACCAACCTAGGACCTTTATACTCCTGAGGAAACAAGAGGCCTGTTCTCTTGGGCCTTTGGGCTCTTACATTCTTCCTCAGAAGCTTGAAACTGTCTAAATCCTAACTGATTTTGATATGATGATTTCATTAATTTGGTGTTTCCCACTGGTCTTCAATCAGAATCTCGGAGGGCACACACATACTTCCTTGAAAACACTTTAGTCCTGCCCATCCCAGATCACCCTAGCAATCATTTGCCTTCCCTATGATTTTCTGGGTACTGCCTGGATTAAGGGATTCATATTCTCTTGTCCTAAAATGTCTGTTGTAATTTTCATGAAACTTTTTATGTGGTCCCCTTTCTCCTAACATTAAAATCCAACAAAATGAGAAGACTGAGGCCTATTGTATTAAATGTGTCCAGAGTACTCATCTTTTATCTAAGAGATAAGCGAAGATATTGCACTGAGACCAAGTGCTTTGTACCTGACATTAATAAGCTAATATGGATAATAGCAACGTTTGAGATGAGACAGTAAAAAGATATTTCTTCAAAAGTACTCAGGAGATCGAGCACAAAACCAACTTGTGTGAGAAAGAGCTATTACAAGGGTATCTTTCCATCTAGTTATATTTGATGGCATTGCATCTTAACATGTCTTACATTTATATTTTACTCTGTAATATGCTGCTCACTCGTGACAATTCTTCTACAGTGGTTGGTTTATTTGCTTTCATTTTATTTTATTTATAATCTGCTTTTCCTCTCCTATCCACCTGACGACTTTTGAATTGTTTGTCTGTATATAGCTATAGACATAGATGCTACTGGCTTAGATGCAGAAGAGAATGATATTCCAGCAAACCACCGCTCCCCTAAGCCCAGTGCAAACAGTGTAACGTCACCCCACTCCAAAGAGAAAAGAATGCCCTTCTTTAAGAAGGTAACACAGATCTCCCAGCTCCTGTTGTCCACTTGCTCATCTGCACTGCGTCACAGTTCCGGTCCTGTTGATTGTCTGTGTCCTTTGACAAGCCAATAACACGCATGCTCTGTTATTCTTTGTTTCTTTTCCACGCTGCTGTAGCTAAGCAGAAGCAGAAATCGGTAAGTCGGCATTGACATACCTATGTTTTTCCTGCCACTGGCATCATTAGCATCAAGTCCTTCAGTTTCATTAAGTAGTCTTCCCAGTCCTAAGACAACCTATCAATAGATAACCGAATCCATATATCTTCCACCAATAACATTCAGTGAGTGGCCTGTTGAAATGCCGTCACAGTACTTATCCTTTTTGATGGAATAATATCTGCCACAAGGGATTTTGTTTAAACACTCGAAGATGTCCAACACTGGCCATGCTGTACAGCACACCTCAGTTGTACACGCTTTTATCGCCTGTCTTTTTTGCCAGACACATAATTTATAATAAAGCACATTAAAGCAGTTATTGGATTCTGATTTATAATATCCAGATACATTGCTTGTGCTTTAAACAAGAGGTTATTCAATTTTAAATTCAGTCAGTATTTAAACTTCTAATCCATTAGGTGCAAAATCTGCTGATGAACAAGACCAGTGGAAACTGCAGGCTTGTTTTGGCGGTTTACTGTGAGTTTTTCCTATTGTCATATATAAACACTCTCCCAATAGTTTTGCCTTCTCCATCAGTCAGATTTCGGCATCTCACCTAGTAGACAATATGGCTGCTGGCCACATGTAGAGCCTTTTCCCTTGGCCAACTGAGACGGTATACCGATGCTGTGCCCGGAATGGAAACTCCAAGGAATTCCCAAGACCTTTTAATCCAAGTTTCCTCTCGGCATGTTTCATTGCTAGAGCACTATTTTCAAAAGACCTCCCTCTTCCCATTTTTTTCTTCTCCTTTGACATAACACCTTCCATAGTCATTATGCTTTTAGACTTATATAGCCCCTATTGTTACCAAGTCTGGCACAAGCATGGGTATTTTTTTTTGTTTTTTATTTATTTTTTTATTTTTTTGAGACAGTGTTTCTCTGTGTTTCTTTGGAGCCAGTCCTGGAACTAGCTCTTGTAGACGAGGCTGGCCTTGAACTCACAGAGATCCACCTGCAGCTGCAGTGCTGGGATTAAAGGCTTGTGCAACTACCACCCGGCCAGGGGTATTTTTTTAGCCTACACATGAAGCAAAATTTGTTCTTCCCTAGACTTTCATCAAATTAAAAGTCTTACCACCACACAGAAAATCAACTGTTTGCTCTATAGATGTTAACAATAAGTTATACACAAAAGCATAAGCTTTTTTTTTCTTTTTAAATAATCATTAAGAAGAGAACTCCAGGCAAAATTTAAACACCTGGACTTCTGTGTTAACACAGAAAGCCCCAACCTGATGATCTTCCACAGGAGTGGGCCACCTCTCTGGTCTGACTTTGTCATCACAACTGTTGCTCGCAGCTAGGTAACTGCAGGCGTTTCTTAGACAGTCAACACTACTCGGTCATGGCAACATTGATATGACCATGCTCGTCAAGAAGTACTTTGTAGTTTACCTGCCTGTAAATTTCAAAACATTAAAGACATTTATCCTAATTTTTTCCACTAAAGAAGTGAAACAAAAAATGGCTTAATCAAAAAGGACAAATAAAAATGTTGTCATTAGTAATATGGCACAAAGTATCAATATTCCATCAAATAAGGTAATTTCTAATGCTGCCCCGATGGTAGAGAAGCTGATTGATGGCCAGCATGGGTAACCCTTTGCTAGACTGGCAGTCACAGACTGAAGGAACCAAAGTCCTATCTAACACTGGGCCACTCGGATTTCTTAGTAGCTGCTCTTTCACTGCTTGCAGTGTCTATCTCCATAGGTAATGGTGACAGTGGTGGTCTCACCACAGTAGCGGAAGGATGTGGCTTCCAGGCACTTTCAGTACAAACCCAAGTGCTATGAAATACAATCGCTTAATAAATATGCTTCTGATGCCTGCGGCACTGGTGTTCACTCTCGTGTTCCTTCTTCTGTGATAATGTAGACTCAGACGAGAGCTGGCTGTGAGAGCGTCCACCCCAATCGTCTTCCATGTCTTAGGTTGCTTTTAGTGCACTGCTTGTCTGGCTTTTGTGCTGTCCGTGTGCTGTGTTTGTCTAATTTTTACACTTTCATTCAAATATGTATTTTCTTTATCATGTCTATTAAAAAGAAGTTTGGATTGCTAGGGGAAATTTTAAACAATAAAAGGTGAACAGCCCATTGGTGGTAATATCTTTTTCCATTTGATTATATACTGGTGAAAGCTCATATGGACGCTGTTGAATTTGATGTGTGTCTAAGTAGCCACGTAAGTGAAACAAAGAGGAAGACAGCAAGTCTGTGATGCGGTGATTTGAAACAAGAGTCAAATGATTTTTAGTGACAGAATGGTGCAACTAAATAGTACATACACACCAGTTGATCAAGTTCTTAAAGTTCTTTTGCTGTATGTCATGTTTAAAATATATTTTTCAGATGCTCCTCAAGGGATGATGCATCTTACAGAGCTCACAAGTCATTAATAAGAGTAAATGACTTGTTCATCCAGTGTGCAAAGCCCAACCTCCTTCGTGCCCCTGCATTAAGAGGTTATTCCTGCATCACTTTACAATTGCCTGTTACAAGAGCTTGTTTAAATTTCATCAAGAAAATTTGTTACTTATGTTTCAAATTTTTATTTGAAAAAAAAATCAAGTTGAAAATAATAGTTTTAGAAGTGACAGTAAAATTTAGCTCCTACCCTGTTTTTCTAAACAAAAAAACAAATTACCCAAAGAGATGTATAAATCAGTTACGGAACAAAAACTAGCTAATACATGCTTCAGAAACATATTATATATGCAAGGTGGTAAGAAACATTTTGAAGCCACTGAAGCATGGTCAAATAAAATTATGACAAATCGTTCGCCTTCCTCCAATGCACATTAATCTTGACATGAGATGTTTATAAATGCCAAAAAAAAAGAGGTCAAAAATTCCAAAACCCTAACCCTAAAGCTGTGAACAGTGATGATAATTACTGTTTTGGCACTAGCATGCCTGCCAATTTCTGCTCCCTCAGATTTTCAGTGGAATTCCAAGCATTTGGTAGTGATTGGCACAATGTTTGGAAACTAGGATTTATACAGGTAAGACCAACAAATCATAGGCAAAGCTGACAGGGATTTATCTGTCATAATTAACCATGATCCTCTGATGTCTTCGGAAGTCCAAGTGTTCCCAAAGAGCAATGGCGCACTGGCTCAACTGAGCCTGGTGTACCTAGTATACATTGGGCATGTTTCTGTTTGTTCTACCAAGCAGCTTACATGCAAGGAAACTAGAGACTATGCAGTAATTTAAACCTTAGAAAAAGAAAGCTGCCAGTCTTTCATGGAGTTGATTTACTTGGAAAAGAGGCAATGACGGAAATATTTAAATGCCTGAAAAATCAGTGTCTTGTATATTAGAGTTGAGAAGAGTATCTTATGTACAAAGTATCTCAGACCCACTGCCTTTGAGAAGTCTAAAGTTGCTTCATCTCTTTGCAGACAGAGCACACTCCTCCTTATGATGTGGTACCTTCCATGCGGCCAGTGGTCCTCGTGGGCCCCTCTCTGAAGGGCTATGAGGTGAGTAGGAGGTGAATGTGAGCGAGGCTCACAGCAGCCAAGCAGGTTGTTTTTCAGGCTGTGGTGTGTTTTGTTTAGTGTTCTGATTTCCTGAAGGTTGCCATGGATACTCCTGCTAGCTCTAACGCACCACATCCAGGAAACAATATCAAATGGAGAATGCCTGCAAGCCCTGGCAAAGGAATCTCTTGTCACTGAAACATCCTAAGATCAGAAATTTTAATCTTGTCATTTCATTAGGGCTTGGAGACAGGAAACGTGGTAATCACACTTCTTTCAAACGTGATGCTAAGGTTTTCAACTGTTAATGAAGAGAAGTAAACTTGGTTCACATAATCAGTAACATTTATCCTCAGGTTTTCTCACATTTTAATTTATTATCCAATTACAGGTCACAGATATGATGCAAAAAGCACTGTTCGATTTTTTAAAACACAGATTCGAAGGGCGGTAAGTGTTGCGCAATGCTGGCTTTGTGTATTTTTGTTTTGAAGATGGTCAAACTCTGTGGGACAGATAGTCGATCCCAAGGGTAAACTGTTTTGGTTTTCTGGACAGGAAGTAGGCTTCATTTAGTGCAATCTGATCCCATGTTTGCGTTGCGCATCCTCATCCCAGGATGGTCCAGTCACTGCACGTGTGTCTGTAAGCTGACTGTGGCTGCATCTCTGCTCACCTGCAGTTCACAAGGCTCTAGTTCCTTGCTGCTGCCCAGATATCACAAGCACACTTTCCCTCCCTTCCAAAAGACTTTACCATCACCTCCTTCCCCATCACCCTTTAACCCCTTCTCACTGCACTTTCCCACAGTGAACTTACATCCTTGCTTCAGGGAGGAAACAGGCAAACCGGGACTAACACAGGCCTGTAACTCTAGCACTTGCCCTGAGGTGGAGGGATATGGCCAGACTAGGTCTCATAGCTGGAGGTAGGAGGGTTAGAAGCCAACAGAAGGCATGAGTTACCCCTACTACATTTATGTCTGCCTCGATGTTTTGCGTTTCCCCTTCCTAGGGTTTTCTTAGCAATGGTTAACTTAACCCACAACCACCTGGGCACTAGACCACATTCCCCACTTCCTTCCCACTTAACTCCCCAGACAATGATCTCACCATCCATCCCTCTCATCAGTATTTCCTGTCCTAAGGGAGACGCCATTAGCTGTAGTTATCTCTCTTCACACTTAGCCTAACATCCTTCGCACCTATCACCCAGCTGCCTAATTTCCCCCTTCTTCATAGAAAACTCACTAGGCTGTTCATGCTGTGGCTGCTCTCCTGCTTTCCTATCCGCCCCACTTAGATTTTCCCTGACAGCCGCTTCCTCAGCATGATGGGTGCTCCAGCCAGCTAGGCCCGTGTCCACATCAGTGTCTGTTCCTTGCTCTTCCCTCTGGGAGGAACTTTTTCTTCACATCTCTCGTGGTAGCACAGCCTCTCTCCCTTCTCCACTTTCCTGGTGTTCTTTTATGCATATGACTCTTTGTTATCCTCTCCAACAAGAATGTGAGGGAGGGCATTCACGGGATGGCGAACTCGGAACTCTCGGTGCCTGCAGAAGCACTCAACATGAAAAGGACAGCTGAGTGCGGAAGTGTTGTTTGCTGTGTTTTCTCCACTAGAGAAATGCAGACACATAAAGGCCACTGTCCCTGACTCTTGAAGAGCCATATGGAAATTTTAAGTTGAAACTTGTACAGTAAAACAGAATATAAATACAGGGACATCCCAGCATGTGTGTAGACAATGGACAGGTAGTACAGAGAAAGGAGTAGTCAACAGATTTGAGAATTTTGCTATCCAGCAAGGGTTTAACTCTTCTAAAATCTCACCAACCCAATCAGAGGAGGACATGGCCAACAGACGATGGAAAGGAAAGGAAGGTACCAAGACATGAGGCAGCTTTATGAGTAAAGCAACCCAGCTAGAGGACCTACAAAGGAAACTGCCATTAATAGCCATGGGACATACCTCAAAAGTTCTGGCCAAGATATGGGACGCAATCCTTTCCCTCCTCAACTTAAAAATAAAGTAAAAAAGAAAAGGACCTTAGCTTTACAGAGGGTAAAGGCCTACAGAGAGGGGGAATGGAACAAGTCTTCTGGAAGAGGGGGAAAGTGAATACGAGACACAGTTTTTTGGAGAGTGATATGGCCAGTGGACCAGACGGAGAGGGGGGATGGTTAGTAGGGGTCAGGCCAAGTTTAGCTTATGGACACTGGTACAGGAACTACAGTATCCCTGACACCAACACACTACACTGACATGACAGATATCTACTTAGATCAAAGTGAGCTGAAGGACACTATTTCCTGTAATCACAGAGACAACAGAAATCATGTGTAACTACTGAAAGACTGACGAATCAAATAATCAATGGGTATCACCCATTTACTCACCAATGTACTACTTCTGTTCAACCCTGAGCGTTTATGAATCTGGATCTCAGACCTATTTTCTATAGAATCACATAGCCAACTTATTTTATCTGGGAAGAAAATAAGTGAAATAGTAGAAGGTAGGGTCAACCTATCGTTTCTAGACAAATGTATTTTCCATGTGCATCTTGCCTTGCCCATCCTATACTGCACTTCAACAGTCTGGGCCTGTGGCCATGCATTAAGGATTCCCAAGGGATGTAAGAACCCATATGGTAGCATTTCCAAAGACATAAAACTTTCACCTTTACTCGTGGGAGTATATCCAGGGTAACTGTCTCATTAAATGTCTTTAATGTTGGCAAAGCAAGACAGAAACAGAGTGGGGACAGAAACAGACAGAAGCCTCTGGGGTGTGTACACAGGGCAGTCCGAAAGAGAACTGAAGTACTCTTTAGAATCCACAGAATGAGTTATATTTTTATAAGTGTTAGGGCCACAAAGGAGGGGTGTGGTGGGAAATGTTGGCAAAAAGTTCTAGGCTATCAAGAATTGTGGTATTAAGCTCTCACAGTCAAGAACATTTGTGGGTGCTCTGGAGAGCAGTCAGAATCACTGCGGGCCATGTAACAGTTTGTGCCACATCAAAGGAGACCTGCCTCAACCTTCTTCTTCCAGTTGCTGGACCCAACTAGTTTTTCATGGAAGCAAAGCAATCACTGTTACTTTTAGGATAATAACAGGTACATTAACAAGGAAGTGGAGAAGGGAAGCTATCATCTTGGGTAGACTTGGCTTTCTTCCCTGGTGACTTTCAAAATGTCAGTTGTCAGCCCTGAAATGTTTGAACTATGCACTGAATCGCTACAGGAATATTAGACACTGCTGTCAGAATGTTCTGTGGAGAAGTCTTATTGAAAATCAATAATCCTGGGAAACATTACATCACTTTATATTCTGGTGTAGGAGATTTACTTATACGTGAGACAATGTCTTCAAAATTAATGGTTTTATAACCAAGCTGCAGAACAGAATTACCCGACGTACACTCGGTGGGAGTTGGGAACAGACCAGGCTTAGTGACACATACTTGGAGTTCCAGTATTCAGGAGGCTGCAGCAGGAGGAGCTCATTTGATGCCAACCTATATGACACAGAGTGTACCTTGTTTTATTTTGTTCTTTCATACATTACATCCTGACTGCAGTTTCCCCTCCCTCCACTACTCCCAGTCCCTTCCCTGCACCTCCTCTCTCCCCCAGATCCACTTTTCCTCCATCTCTGTTAATAATAATAATAATAATATAATAATAATAATACTAATAATAATGCAGGCCTCCCTGGGACTTCTACTAAACGTGGCCTAATAAGTAACAATACATACCAAGACTGGATGAGGCAACCCAGGAGGAAGGGTCCCAAGAACAGGCAAAAAAGTCAGAGACACCCTCACTCCTACTGCTGGGAGTTCCACAGGAACACCAAGCCACACAACCATAAGGTATATGCAGAGGACCTTGATCAGACCCATACAGCGTCACTCTGCTCTTGTCACTTCAGTCTCTATGAGCCCCTGTGAGGTCCGCTTAGTTGATTCTGCAGGGCATGTTTAGCATGGTGTACTTGACCCCTCTGGCTCCTGGAATCCTTCCTACCCCTGTTCTGCAGGGTTCCTCTGGCTCCACCTAGCGTCTGACTGTGGGTCTCTGCATCTGCTCCCAGAGTTCACTGGATGACATGAAGCCCCTCTGATGACAATCAGGCCTAGGCACCAGACTATGACTATAACAGAATATCAGGAAGAATCATTTCATTGACTTTTTTTTTTTTTTTTTTTTNTTTTTTTTTTTTTTTTTTTTTTTTTTTTTTTTTTTTTTTTTTTTTTTTTTTTTTTGGCCATTCATGTTTGGTTCTATCCTGGGTTTCTTGGCTGTCTGCCTCTGGTTCCTGGCCATCCAGGTAGTGTCAAATATGGCTCCCTCTTGTGGCATGGGCCAGTCATTGGCCACTCCCACAAGTCCTACACCCCAGGCCACCTTGCAGGCAGGACAGATTGTAGGTAAAAGGTTCTGTGGCTGGATTGATGTCCCAGTCCCACTGCTAGAGCCTTGCCTGATTATAAAGGATGGCCGGTCCGGGCTCTTTATTTCCCATTACTAGATTTCCACTGCATTAGATTTCTTCACCTCCCCCACCAATTCCAGGAAGACATCTCTCCCGGCACTCTCTCCCTCTGTCCTTAGATCCTGGTTTGACTTAAAATAAAATTGCGGGGATAAGATATGATGAGAATCCCTATTATTACATGCTTACATGGTGTATATGCATGGGTTGAGGACCACTACTCTAAACCTAATTATCCCCAGAAATTTTGCCCTTAGATTTTCAACTACTTGGGGGCAGAACCAAAGAAATGCCAGTTATGCCACCTAGAAAGCCTACCACACAGGGAGTCGATGTGGCACTGCTGTACCTCCATGATGGGCCCCATGCCAGGGCAGCTGTCTCCCTGTGGCCATCAGCCTCACGTGGTACTAACGCTTAGGTACTTGCTCTCCCTTCCACCTGGAATCCTCTTCCCTCAGTATCTACCTGACTCCTTCCTTCCAGTCTACAATGCCGCATTAATGAACCGTTCCAAACTTCTGAGCACTAAGACGATACCTTCCATGCTGTTCCGTCTCCATCCTCACTCATCTCCCTTAAATTCTAAGTGGCACTTGTCACAATTTTCTGCCACCTTTGCACCTCCGTAAAAGTTTAAATTCTATAAAATAACTTTTTATGAGATGGGGGGGGGGCGGGTGTAGATTATCTTACTATGTTGCCCAGATAAACACATCCGGCCTACATGAAGTTATAGCAGGTATTCTGAAATATGCACTCTAAAATGATGACTTGAGTAGCGATGGGTTCTCTGTGCTCAGCAGAAAAGGAATCCTATCATATGACGTACCCTGGAGCATCCCCTGAGATGAGAGGAGAGCATTTTGTGCTAACCTCCTGGTATACTGCACACCACCCTTGGGGATTTCTTCCAATTGCTGTTGGGTCATCTCTCAACCTTCACCGTTCCATTTCAGCCAAACACACCTTTCATTCATATCCCTAAAATGATTTTTCTGAAGTGTCTAAAAAAGCCTTTAATCAAGCTACTTAGCTTATGGTGTGATGGTTAGGGCTTTGTTGTTGTTGTTGAGACAGGATCTCACTGTGCAGCTGGGGCTGCCCCAACTGATGGTGTGATGGTTAGGGTTTTATTGTTGTTGAGACAGGATCTCACTGTGCAGCTGGGGCTGCCCTTGTACTGGACACCCACATGCTTCATCTTTCCCACTGCTGGGATGGCAAGTATGCCCTATGGTGTGTGGCCATGGGCAGGGGATTCTGAAGGCTTTTGCTTCATTACCTTCTAGCCCCACTGTTGCTCTTGAGAAGTTTAAAGCCCTGATTTCCTCTGGAAGATTTTTGGTTCCTAGTGTAATGGGATTTATGTCGGGTATGGATTTTAATCAGTGCTAGATGCTTTTGGTATAAAAATCCAGACTCTGAATCTGGAATTAATTCTTTAGCTAATAACTATTTGGGGTTTGAACTGCTGGGCAACTCTTTAACTTTCAAAATTTACTTTCCTGCTCTTTTGTTGCTTTGCTTTTATTCTTTTCACTTTTTATTTATACTGTCATTTTTTAAATTTCCAGAAATCTTCTTATTCTGAGCTTCAAAAAATAATGTTTCAGTTCTATGAACATAATTTAGCCTTCCGATGGTTGTTTCTTTTATAGCCTCTTGTGAAAGACATTTACAAAGATGCCTAGTATTGCTCTTATCTTTAAGAATGGGGCAAACAGGCATGAGCAGAAAGGTCTGCACTCACAGGTGGAGCTTGGCAGCTGCATGTTTCCCTGTAGGACATTCTTGACAAGTATTTTATGGAGGAGACGTCTGATGTACACATAGTTTAGTCATTTGGCTGTTTGTCCAGAGAAGCAGCCTCTTTTCTGATACCTAAAAGATATAAAATAACAAACATAAGCTGGGATTCCAAAAGACGAAGATGGAGAAGTAAGTTGAGTCACATTCAGAATCATTTTTTCCCTCTTTGGCATCTGACGTTCCCAGCTCCCCTTCTCTGCCTATAATACCTGAGTCAGGGGTCCTCAGACTTACTGCCTATAGCTATAGCTAAGTCTCTGATTTTATTATTATAGATAAATAATTCTTATTAGGTCACTTGATGCTCTGGGGGGTTCTGACTTTGGGACAGACTTTAAACCAAGCCTCTTGGTTGTAGTTTTACTCTCACCAGCTTCCTCAGAGATACTGCAAGCCTTTCATTTTGTCTCACATTTTTTCTCCTATTTGAATATTCCCTGAACTTTCCTGTACTTTCCCACGTACAGCTGCTTCCAATTTCCAGCTTCCATGTACTACCGCTACATTAGTTCTGCCCCGTATGAAACCTTGCACTTTGTTGCCACTGCCGTGATGGACTGCACGTGCTCTGCATGCCATGCTGCCACCACTGTGAGTCTGCACTCACTCTCCGACCCCGGCACCAGACTCTCAGCTCCCTCAAGGCAGGCTGCCTTCGTCATGCACGTCACAGCACTGCAAAGGCGCTAAGACTACAGAATTCGGAACCTCAGTTCAATTTATTAAAGGAGTAATTGTTGGTTCTGTTTATAGTAACACAGGGTTTTAGATAAGGCTGCTTGTAATTTCTTTTTTATTTGTTTTCTATCAGCAAATGTGAGTCTCTTACTCAGACTTGGTGAACAATCAGTAAATGCTAGGCAAAACAGGTCATAATAAATGATTGCCTGTCCTTTAAGTCTGTTTTGAAACATGTATGTTTCAAAATATACACACACGTGAATATACGTGTATGCTGATACTTAACACATGTGTATTTGAAGTTTATATCTATTTATTGAATGTATATGAGTGTTTTGTCTTCATGTATATATGTACATCATGTGTGTACCTGGTGCCCATGGAGGTCAGAAGAAGACACTGGATCCACTAGAACTGGAGCTACAGATGGTTATGAACTACCATGCCAGTATGAGGAGCCAAACCTGGATTCTCTGCAAGAACAACAGATGCTCTTAACTGCTGAACCAGCTTCCTAGCCCCTCATGTGTATAGTTATATATCAGTCATCCTTTAAGTGCTAGACGTGACTTCTGTTTTACTAGAATAAGAACCTTTGGCTTTTCTCTTTTCTCCAACAGGATATCCATCACAAGAGTCACTGCTGACATCTCCCTCGCCAAACGTTCAGTATTAAACAACCCCAGTAAGCATGCAATAATAGAAAGATCCAACACAAGGTCAAGCTTAGGTAAGTCTGTCAATACCAATGAGTTCAAGCTATTCAAATATGTCTTATCTAATAGTAACAGTGAGAAGATCTGAATAGAGAATAAGTCCAGCTACTAGGTAGAAAAATCAGCGTCAATAGCTAGTCTATAGTCCTAATGACTTGAGTGTAAATTATTAAAATAGCATAAGCCAAAACATCCCACCTGCCAATCAGCACTGTGGTTTGTTTCAGAAATGTTCATGGAATAGTTACAGCGGTAATGAAATCATTTTCAAAACCATGTTTTACCCGCTGAGGCTGATAACAGAGGAAACAGGATAACAGAAGTCAGTTCTTATCTGTTGTCTGAGTTGCATCAGTACTTTTCTTTGTAAAACCAGCATGGGGAGGTTGATGTATTTACAGAGAGGTGATTGGAAATTGTTCATTAACATACAATGATTAGATAATATCCAGACCTTCCAGCAGCTACTACAACATGTCCTTGGTGTTTTAATTACTGGTACACTTTTAACTAATATTGTTAGGCTTTTGGTTTTATACATTTCTAAAAGTTGTGGGACATATTTAGGTTCACTTAATTTTTAACTTAGGCTAAATATGGAAAGCCTTTGGGAGGCAGGGTTTACGTATACAAGTTTCCTAATTACTCTGAACTATAATTATATAAATAGAAAAACATAAATAATAACATTTTATCTTTTAGCAATACTTCATAAAACTCTGTTTTGGGGACTGGAAGGCTAGCTCAATGAATTAAGGGCACTTGCTGTTCTTGCAGAGAACTGGAATTCAGCTTCTAGTATATACTGGGAAACAGGGATCCAACACTCTCTTCTGGCCTCTATGAGTATGCATAGACATAACACATAAACTAAACTTCCTTTTGTCTCCCAATAAGCCCTCCGAGGTAATTTCAGAGGCATAGGTCTGGAACTGTACTAGAGATGTAGGTGTGGCAGCACCTCTCACCCCAGCACCTTCAGACGATGGGGCAGTAAGAGTAACATTCAAAAGCAGCCTGGTGATACCCTATCTTATAATTATTCTTCCTTTCTTGAGAAGAAAAATGAGATAATTTTTACTCATAGTAATCTCTTATTTTATCTAGTACTTAAGAAAATTGTTACAAAATTATCATTTCATAGATTTAACCAATTAAAAAAGAAGTCAAGCAATTTATTTACAGAGACCAATTAAATCAACAGCAGGATAGACTGGTTTAGGCTGCCAAAACCTTTACAACTACTGGTGGTGTAGTTTTTTAAATGCCTCTTCTAGCCATAGATCTTATTGAGCACATACTAGGTACAAAACAACGTGCTAAAGCCTGAAAGACTTGATGCAGCCCCTGTGCCCAGGAGCTCAGACAGCAATAAGGTAAATAAGAGACCCTGGGGTGTGGAGTGAATGCAGTGTTCCTGAGCTGAACCCGGTGCTGAAGAGCTAAGGCTGCAGCAGGTATAGGCCCTGGGGAAAACTTCCACAGGCGGTGTCCTGAGCTGAGACTTGAAGCTTACAAGCATGTAGAAAAGGACAAAAGTTAAGAAGGAGATGAGGTGATGTTCTGAGACAGTGGCAATAATTACAAGAGGCTTCTGGACAACATGTGTCACTTTGGCTGAAGTGTATCCTTTAAAGAAAAGGGAGGTAGAAGGCAATAATAAAGAGGTAAAGTAAAATAAGGAGCATGCTAAAGAGCTTGTTCTTAAGGCATTAAGGAACGGTTGCTAGTAAGTATTCAAGTATTCAAGGTGTCAGGGTAATAGAAGCAAAGAACACAAAATGTAGCTATAAGATCACAGAGTTGGTCAGTGGCTCATGAGCCCAGGCAGCAGAGAAGAAATTGAGAAGGGCATCAGTAGACACAGGGATGGCCCCCTGGGAGGAAATGGCATTCCAGCCGGGACACCTGCAGAATGTTTAATGCTGGGGACACTTGCATCAGGAGTTGCAAAGCTAAAGAACTATCTGCAGTCAATATAGTTTTACACACAATAGTCATCTTTCCACCCACAGATTATTGGTAAACAAATCATAGACATATTTTACCAAATAAATAAACTATCTTAATATGATAGAGTCCATATATTGTAATTCAGCCTCTCAAATCTCTCATTTTTCATTAAAAAAAACCTTTTTCTTGAAAAACTGAGCTACTTATTCTGAAGGTTTCTGGCGGTCTGAATTTCTCTGACTGTATTACGTTATCATTTATCAAATTCTGTTTCTTGTATTTCTGATAAATTAGCAAACTTATGAGCCAGATCAGATGGCAGATGTAGTATTTATTGTAGCAAGACTATATGCATTAGGGGTGCTGTATGACCAACCATTATTTTGAAGTTAGTATCTCAAGTGACTAAGTTGTGGTTTCTCAAAGCATCCAAGTAAAGAACTTGATGCAAACAGTTAGTGACTTGCCTACTAGGTGAGTTCAAATCATCTTTGGAAATGCTCTGTCATTAATACAAATGAATCACAGAAAGTGGAGGCACTCCTAGCCTCAGGTGGCTGGTCCGAAGAAGTCTTGTGGACTTAACCTTTCACTTTCAGTCAGAACTACAAGCTCCACGCTGCGCTTTACAGTTCAATACTGAATTATCAAAATTTAAAACTTCAGGGTGTTTTGTTCAGCTACATTTTAAGGCTGAGCACCCCATGGCCAGCAGAAGGCACACTAGAATGTGTGGAGCATCCCCATCATCACAGAGGTTCAAGTGGGGGGTGCCGTAGTGTTGAAATAGGAGCAGCGAGGCTGCATCCCCAGCACCCCAGCCGCCTGGCTAGCTTATGCCCAAAATAACAACACACAAACTGTATTCTTTTGAACACTGCTTGCCCATTATATCCAGCCTCTTCTCAGCTAACTCTCGCACCTGGACTAGCCCATTTCTAATAATTTGTGTAAGCACCCCAAAGTGCGCTTACCAGGAAGATTCTAGCCTACGTCCATCCTGGGTCGGAGCTGCCTGGGAGAGCGGAGCCTGGCATCTCTGCTCCAGAGAGCAGAGCTGTCAAGTCTCTCCGGGAGCAGAGCAGAGTCTGAGCTCTTCCTCCCAGCATCCTATTCTGTTTACTCCTCCCACCTATGTTTTAACCTATCAGGGCCAGCCAAGCAGTTTCTTTATTGCTTAACAAATGAAATCAACAGATTGATATATGACACTCCCACATCACCATAGTGGGATCCCTGCAGAATGTAAGGATAGCCATTTATGCAATTTTACGCGATGCTTCTAGTGGGAAGCTGCCCTTCAAAACATGAATGTTACTAGACCACTTCTTTACTTTTTGAGATTTTTAATTTAATTACATTTTCTCTTACCTTTCCTCCCTCCAAACCCTCTCACAAGGTTGTCCCCTCTCTTTCAAACACATGCTCTCTCTCTCTCTCTCTCTCTCTCTCTCTCTCTCTCTCTCTCTCTCTCGTTTTCTCTCTCTCGTTTTCTCTCTCTCGTTTTCTCTCTCTCGTTTTCTCTCTCTCTCCCTCCCTCCCTCCCTCCCTCTCTGTTTTTACAAATTCTTATTGCACGCATATACGTATACACACACACACACACACACACACACACACACACACACACACACACATATTCTGGGTAATGTCAAAAGCTGTACCTGTAAAGTCTCACCACCATGACTGCCCAAATGTGAGCTGAACAAGGAGGAAACCAATGAACATGACAAACTGGGTGGAGAAAAGTTTACAAGGCCTCAACCCTACCCAAAGAACTGTAAGCAACTGAGGAAAGCTAGGGACAGGAGAGGCTGTCCTCCCCAGGGCAGAGCACGCCAGTTCAATGTCCAGTATCAAATGGTGAACCCTGAAAACATATATCCAGGTAGCACTGTATGGAGTGAAGGGGTTATTATACTTAAGACAATGTTATGTCTTCATTGGTGAAAGTATGAAGTATGGCTTGGGCTAAACTTCTAATGGGTACCCTTCCTCTCTCTTTTTACATTGTACATATTTACATAATGGATGGTCCATGCACATGCGCAAGGAAAGAGGGTACATTTGGTGCTGGCTGAAAGAATAATTCCTGGAGGACCAAAGGTGTGAGCAAGCAGCCCTTGCCAAAGAACACCTTTCATCATCACATTGACTATAATCATTAAAATAGCAGCTGACTCTCTGGATAAAGAAAGAGTGTACCATTTTACTCCAGCTTACTGTAGTTTAAAAACATGTCCTTTTAAATAAGTTACCTCTGTTTAACCTTTTGCAGCCGAAGTTCAGAGTGAAATTGAAAGGATTTTTGAACTTGCAAGAACACTGCAATTGGTAGTCCTTGATGCAGATACGATTAATCACCCAGCTCAACTCAGTAAGACCTCTTTGGCCCCTATTATAGTGTATGTAAAGATTTCTTCTCCTAAGGTAAGCGGGGTTGCCATTGTTTTTCTATATTCAGACATTACTGCAATGTGCTTTATGCTCTGATTTCCAGCAGTCACAGGCGATGCCATATTATGAACATAGGGTTTTTGAGAACACCCATACTAATCAAGAAGTTTTAAGAGCAGTACAAGCATGGTTAGTGTTATGGCTGAAACCAGTGGTCTTAAGTGTGGGCCATAGGTCACTGAAAGGATTTCAGAGAGTTTGTAAGTGGAAGAGTTTGGAAGCTGCTTCGGTGAAAAAAATAAGATGTTGCTTCCTTTCAACACGCTTGGCATCTACAGACATGGTGGTAAAGCTGCTAGTAGTCCAAGCATGAATACATGTAGTAGCAAACACATGTTTATGTCCTCCCAGTTTCACATAAGAATGTCTGGATGCAGTAGGGGTAAACTGTTTAACACTGTGTAATGAACTAAAACGTTCAGCTACTGTCCAGAGCAGACTGTCTCAAGGAGGAACACCAACGCCACTGTGCAACTCTCGTTCTAGGACTAACGACAGGATGCTCATTCGGACTCATGTACTTAGGTCTTTCCTTAAGCAAATCAGTCCAACACTCCAAAAGAACCGCTTGTTGCCACCAACACTAATACTAAACAATGAAGTATGTAAATATGCAAGAGATACAGAATCCATGAATGACCTTACATGTCATGCATGGTAAAGGGGCAGTCAACTTCCAGTACAGATCATAGGACTGTTCTTACTCTGGTATACTAAGCTGTTCTCTGTGGCTACTGAGTCTTTATGGCCATGGGACTTTATGGTAATAAACTTGCTAGTCTTCAGTACAGTATCACAGAATGCCACCAAGTCTCTGAAGAGGCACAACTGGCACCTCCCCCTTTATTTAACTGTGTTTCTATAGTGGTCTCTTTACAAATATCAGTGAAACTGTACACTAAAGCAAATTAAAGGTTTCTTAAGTGGTTTATATTAACATGTGCCAGATTTATTTCTGACTGAATTAACAGTGCTAAGATTTCTGATAAATACAAGAAATATTTCCTACAAACAATGGCCCTCTGGGGTTCACAATATTTTTAAACTTAAATAGGTCATGAGGCATAAAGTTTGAGAACTGTTAGGCTAGAAAAAAAGAGCCCACATCAGCCTTATACTAGTGTTTAAGCTTGCAAGAGACTTATGCAAGACTGTTAATTTTGTTGTTAATCTCTGTTGTATTTTATTTCTTAATGATAGATGCCTGTCCTCCATGTATATAATGTATTATATATTATGGATATGTATGTATTGTATATTCTGTATTTATAAAATACTCCATAGTGTACCCTGTAGCTTACCCAAGTACAGATATTCCTGTTACAAATGCCTACCATTTTCAGGTTTTACAAAGGTTAATAAAATCTCGAGGGAAATCGCAAGCAAAACACCTCAATGTCCAGATGGTAGCCGCTGATAAACTGGCCCAGTGTCCTCCGGTAAGTTATCTATATGGCGCAAAAGCTAAAGAAATCAGACCTACATTTTAAAAAGCTGCAGTTATGCACCTGTGGGAAGATACTCCTCCTCACTTACAACTGTATTTATTCCAAAAGCGTAAAGTATGCCGCAGCCTGTGTGACCATGCATTTTGAGCATCCTTAGGCCAGATCAGATCAGATCACCCTTCCAAAAATGCCAACTGCATCCTTTACAGGCCTCACTTCCTAATACTGTGGTGTGTAAGATGGACCTATTGGATGCTGGTTCTTATCCACATCTAGTCACAGGGAATAAGTTGTCTCTGTTGTAGGAGCTGTGGGCCTCTTCCCACAGCCCGGCTCCTGGCCGCTTGGCTAGCTTATACCCCGAAATAACAACACACAAATTGTATTCTTTTAAACACTGCCTGGCCCATTAGTTTCAGCCTCTTAACCCATTTCTAATAATCTATATAGCACCACGAGGTGTGCTTACCAGGAAAGATTTAGCATGTCTGACCTGGTGGCTGGCTGCATCGCGTCTGCCCCGGAGAGAGCTGCATGGAGTCTTAGCTCACTTCTTCTTCCTCCCAGCATTCTGTTCTGTTTACTCTGCCTATCTAAATTTTAACCTATCAGGGCCAAGGCAGTTTCTTTATTTAACCAGTGACCTTCCTCCATCATGTCTCCTCTTAACAAGTGTTTGAGAAATAGACTTGGGACCATGTCAAACTAAATGTTGACTTTCCGTATAGGAGAATGCAGACGTGAGCTTCCTTACCACGGCATACATGGAGGTCAGAGGATAACTGTAGCTGTTGGTCCCCAATTTCTATCTTACTGGAGACTAGTTCTCTTGTTGTGGTCCAATGTGTATGCCTGGCTAGCTGGCTGGCAGATTTCCAAGATTCTCTTGCCTGTACCCTGTGTTCCTGTAGGAATGCTGGGATTACAGAAGCTCAATGCTATGCACCTTGTTTGGGAATGGGGTCTGGAGATTCAAATTCGGGCCCTCACAGTTGCACAGCAAGCACTTTTTACCCAGTGAGCTAGCTCATCATCCCAAACCAACTTTTGAACACCAGGTTTCCCAGAAACACATTCCTAATTTTATATATTATACTTTGGGACAACAGATCCCATCTAGTGTTCATTAAAGTACAACTATTTCAAAAGTTATAAAAGATGTAATTCTGGATTTGATTCATTTAAAGTATGTTAAATCTCTAGATCAATGATTTTAAATATTCAGAAGCAAAGAACCTCTCCTCCCACCGAACTGTGCAGTTTGGATCATGTCAAAATGTCAGTAGTTTGAGCTACTTCTGCCAAAGTACATGACCTAATCCTGCCTCATCAGCTTCCAGAACTTCCTGCAGTCTGTAACAAGAATAAGCCCCTTTCTAAATTGTTTGGATTTGCCATGTGTTCCTACCATAGTACCAGTATGCTTTTTCCACCACAGATAATAACTCCCCTGCACTGCCCTTACCAATCAGGCTGACAGCTGTCCACTTTCAGGCAATTAGTTAGCCATTCAGTGTTTTAATTAGCGATTTGAAGTGACACATGCATAAGCTAAGACTCAGCTAAGGGAAAATGGAAAAACAGGGCAAGAACAAATACAATGGGCAAGGCCTCTCTCTCTTCTGCTTATAGGTTTGGGGAGGAGAGGGACCTTGGTCCTGGGCTGCATTAATGTGCTATCTGAAATGCTTGCTTTAGCAGGAGTCATTTGATGTGATCTTGGATGAGAACCAGCTTGAGGACGCTTGTGAGCATCTCGCTGACTATCTGGAGGCCTACTGGAAGGCCACCCACCCACCCAGCAGTAACCTCCCCAACCCTCTCCTTAGCCGAACGTTAGCCACTTCAGCTTTACCCATGAGCCCCACCCTAGCCTCTAATTCACAGGTAAGAGGGCTTCCTTTTATGGTGGTCTTCACTGAGAATCTAGGCAGCCTGAGCTATACCCCTGGCACACAACCCAGAGAGGTAATTCAGGGCTTGCTCTACTACCCCTTGCTCACCAGACTAAGACATGTGCCATTTAACCCAGTCTCTCTGAGTTGTGCACCTGTGAACTAAGAACTAAGTCCAGTATGAGCTGTGTACCTGGAAGCAAAGAACTGTAAACGGAATACACTGTAAACAGCTCAGCCTCTGGAGCCCACTGACTGCATGAACACTAAGATGGTAGATCGTGTTTACAACCTCCACCGGTTCCTTGGCTGTCCCTGTTCCAAAACCATAATAGGGAGCTAGCTCAGATGGCTTAAATATTGACTCAAAGGAGTCGTATTTAGCTCCATATTATGCCACTTGCTTATAATCTTAGCTTTTTGGGAGGCTGAGGCAGAAAATGAAAGTAAGCAGCCAAATTAGGACACCCTCTTTTGTGAGGGTTCTAGAATAGTACATGTCCCATTAGATGCCCCATCTTAATGAATTTTAATCTACTCAAAGCAGATTAGTTAAAGCTATGGTATCGGTACTAGAATCACAAAAGACTGTAAAAGAACACTCTTTCCCCATCATTAAAATGAAATGTAACTATGAGCACAAGTCCAGTTTAAGCAGTGCCACTAGGTGTTTCAAAAAAAAGTGCCTAAGGTAGGTTAGGCTTCATTTCAGCATTCTGGGTACTTCAAAGGGATGTACTTACATGGTGCTGTTCTCTATACACTTTAACGTTCCGTAGGTTCTGTCCTTAGTTGATGCCCTCATGTGTCCCTTCTCCAGGGTTCTCAAGGTGATCAGAGGACTGATCGCTGTGCTCCCAGGTCTGCTTCCCAAGCTGAAGAAGAACCTTGCCTGGAACCAGTCAAGAAATCCCAGCATCGTTCTTCCTCCTCAGCCACACACCAAAACCACCGCAGTGGGACAGGTCGCGGCCTCTCTAGGCAAGAGACGTTTGACTCTGAAACCCAGGAGAGCCGAGACTCTGCCTATGTGGAGCCAAAGGAAGATTATTCACATGAACACGTGGACCACTATGCCCCACACCGCGAACATAACCACAGAGACGAGACCCACAGCAGCAATGGCCACAGACACAGGGAGTCTCGCCACCGCTCTAGGGACACGGGTCGAGAGCAGGATCACAACGAGTGCAACAAGCAACGGAGCCGGCATAAATCTAAGGATCGCTACTGTGACAAGGAAGGGGAAGTGATATTCAAGAGAAGGAACGAGGCCGGCGAGTGGAATAGGGACGTCTACATCCGCCAATGACCGTGTGTGTTCCTGCCCCCAAATTTTGTGTATCATCCTTAAGCAAAATCTCTGGGGGCTACATTGCAACCATCTGTGACCTGTCCTGTATATTGTATTGCTGTTGCTTCAATAGCAATAGCATGCAACCAAGTATTAATATACGTTCTCTTGAAAGTACCACATACATTGGCCTAGTACAGCTACAGTCCTCCATCTTTATCCCGGACTCTCCAAAAGCAGTTTGGGGCTGCTGCCACTTAACAGAGTGGCTTCAGAAATGCAGTTAATGTATCCAGTGAGCCAGATGCAGCACAGATAACAAGTGGAATTGCTCCAGATTTTTAATACCCAGATACCTGACCCGTCATTCTTTCATGGACCACTGTTTCTTGCTTGTACCTCTGGCTGACTAAATTTGGGGACAGATTCAGTCTTGCCTTACACAAAGGGGATTATAAAGTTAGAATCTATTTTCTATGTACTAGTACTGTGTACTGTATAGACAGTTTGTAAATGTTATTTCTGCAAACACCTTATTATAATTATATATAATATATATATATATCAGTTTGATCACAATATTTTAGCGTATTAATGCCAAGTCAGCAGATTTGCTTTATGAATCACAGGGACTAGAAATGCCCACATTCAGGAAATTTCTAACAACATTGTCTAGACACCTCTCCCCATTCTAGAAGAGAGCCTGTACATATTGTAAATATGTGTGGTTGTTTGACTTGAGGTTTGATTTCTGAATGTTAGCCCATCCATTTAAGTTTTTAATTTTAACCATAAATTATGGTGATTATAACCAAACTCCAGAGGATTTTCTACTCCATACAGTCCACACTGATTGTGACAAACACGTTTTTAGCAGCTAGTGTCTGTGATAGTCACTGCACTGGAACCCGCCATGTGCACGCGTGTGAGTGTGTGAGCGACTGGAAAAGTGGAATGCAGAACTCGAGCTGACGGCCGAGTCCCGGCCACCTGGCTTAGGATTTAATTATGTTCCATGTTGCTTTAAAACCCATTGAGCAGCCAGGGAATGTGAAGAAGCTTGCTGCCAAAGGTAACTAGGAAAGCACTTATCTGCTGACTCCCTGCTGGAGCTCCTGACAAGAGAAAACACGGGCATCTTGGACTGTGCGTGTCCCACTGGAAATGTACAACCTTGTGTGTCAGCGTATTTTGTTTTAGTAAGAAATGTTTACACAGCTTGTGCAATTATTTCGTAGGGAAATAAATTTTTTATAACTTATCCCACTTCACTTTCTAACCTTGCCTATTGCTCCTGTTGTTTATCTCCAGTTACCTGCTGGTCTTCTCCCAGAATCAACCCAAACAGTTTCACTGTCTGTCAGAACCCAGAAGTGCTCCTTATAACCAAAGTTTCTGCTAAATCGTTAGAACCTATCAGGGCAAAATGGAATGACTTGAAGCAAAAAAATTCAATACTTTCTTACATGAGACACTTACTCTGAAGAAAAACCCAGAAGACACTTTCTTCATGCTTCAATTTGCCTGCTCTAAGAAGTATACAATGCTCTCATGCTAAGGCTAGCAAACCTCTGTATCTCTCAGGAGTCCAGTGCTGATGGCTAAGTTAGACTGTATTAGTTGCATGGGCCCTAGCATTTGAAGTTTTTCCCAGGAAAACACCTATTTGTGATTATCCAACCAGATTCATATATTACTAAAAAAATAATTGTTCTAATAAAATATTTTTTGATTAGTTTCCTGGATATTCCAGGTTCTTCCCAAATACTTCTAGGCATTTATGAGTAAAGCAGTTTTTTATTTAAAGCAGTTTTATGCTTAATACTTTATCCTATACTCAAGAAAACAAAAGCATTTAAAATATGAATTGCAAACACTATTTTACCAGTGTTTTAGTGGCTTGTCAAATGAAATTTTCCCCTTAGAATCAGCACTATACTACTTACAGAATTTACAGACTATACCCAAATTAATATCTACTCAACTTAAGACTGTTCTCATAAAATAAAATGTACACATTTGTCGCAGATGTTTGGCAGTAAAGTAATCCGTTCCTGTGTGTTATTTCATCCCAAGGAATGTCTCTGAGGCACTCAGACTCACGAAGGATGGCGTTTCTCTCACTTGCTGTCAGTCATCACTCATCCCTTTCAAAGAATAGTTCTAGAAGTGTCCACCTGGTCAATTCTGCACCCAATCTGTAGGTCCTCGCTTTAACATGAATATGTTTGTGCACATCAAAGCATTCCTCTATTCTGCTGAAGGAGCGGACATAGCGCACGCCTGTAGAAAACTGCACAGTGGGTCTATGTCAGCAGTGTAGGACACATCTAGAAATAAGAAAATAATTCCAAGGAAGCTGGGGGTATTTACTGACTTGGGGAATGTAATGCCAGGCTTTGCACAATCAAAGACTCAATCTTAACGTACTCAGTTGTAGAATTCTGACTTCTTTTTTCTGTATTCAAGCCAGAAAGTGATGGAAATGGAGTTAACAGTGTTATTCTCCCATGTCAGTCATTCAGCTTTTCCTAGGCTCTTTCTCTACTGCTCTTAACTTACTGACTCCAAGAAAGGTGCTGCTAAGCGTAGGATGTCTTATAGTCACACTGTACTTCGAGACAATGCCACATTTTAACATGGTCTGCTCTGCATTCCTGTTAAACAAACACTCATTGTCACGACCCTGAACTGTTTAACGAACTTGGTTTAAAGTCCTTCATGGAAACAAAGAGCTGGCATCTACACTGTTTACCAGCGGTGTTCATTGCCATCTAAGGAATGAATAAGTCAGATCCCACACTTACCATGTGGAATATCTTTATCCAGCCAATGCCAATATCCCCTGGTGTTCTTTTGGCAATCTTCTCTCCATGTCTAATTTAAGAAAACAATAAAAAATAAAAAAAAAAAAACAAGGTAAGTAGAAAATTTTTACAGTGTAAACCAGAGAGGCATCCTCTTCCCACCTTATTCAAACCTGTAGAATAATTCAGATTCCTACTTAGAAATTATCTCATGGTTAAGAGGCCCCACAGCTTCCCCGTCTGCTCCGTGAGGTGCTGCCACTCCTCCTTGATGCTCTGGTCTTACTCCAGCCAATGTCGTACTGCTGGCGCTCGGTCTTACTAACTGCTTTACTTCACTTTGCTCTAGAAACTAAAATCTAACATAGGATTTTCATTAACATGTATTTACCACTGAATTAAATATTTTTCTGTTTTCATAGAAATAATCTATATTAAAACTATGTTTAAAAGGTATGGTAATATCCTCCCACGTGTCCCTGATTGTTTTCATTTATTGCACCTTTTTCTAACATTTTTGGGTCCTTGAAGAATGTGCGGTTTGCTTTCAAATTTGAGGGAATAAATCCACTGACAAAGGCCCATGTTAATAGGAAAGCTGTTAACAGTATTCTGTGTCCTTGATGTTTTAAACACAAGCAGAGTTGTCTTTTGTTAGCTCTGCAGGTACTCTGGGTTTACTAGGATGGTTAAAAGTTGACACCATGCAAATTTGCTGCTAGGCTATTTCTCTCTCAGTCTCACCCCAGCTTAGCACATAACGATGTACAGAGAGCAGGGGAAAAAAAAGCAATGATTATGGCATTGCTTAAACTAGAGTCTTTTAAAACCAGAGGGGTTACACTGAGTCCCAGAAACAGAAGTACTACGAGGAGATGGTGTTTCTCTTTAGTCAAAATAGCACCTACTGGACACAGGCAAAATGAAAGATGGGAAGAGTTTGCTTATACACTTGAATCTTAGGAAATTCAATATAAATTTTCATATTTAATAAACACCTCTTGACTATCCACTCTGAAGCAGTGAGTGTAAAAGAAAAAAACTAGTTTACCTACCCTGGTACATTTCCCAAGTGTATGAGTGAGCTCGGGTTAACCACAGTAAAATGGCATCATAACGTGCTGTGAGCCGTGGACACAGGCACTTGGATCTAGAGCTCAGAGCTGTTCAAAGAGATGTTCTCCAGGAAGAAGCCATCAAAAGCTTTACTGATCCAAGAGCTGCTGCGATCTTCATGGATATGGTAAGTTGCTGAGAGACCTTCCTACAGGAAACCTACGAGGGAAAGAAACTAGCAGCAATTGGTTTCAGTTGTCCATTTGACACAACAAAGTCCAGTAATGTGGAAGGATGTAAATGAAAGATAACACACCAGTCTGGTGTGTTCCACGTGAGACCTTTCAAGTGTTGCTGGGTACTGGACATCTTAACAGTTTATCTACGCAGCAGGTAGAATGAAGCCAGTCTGAAGACATGACGGAGTTTTTGCAAAGCATATACTTAGGCTGCTAGTGCGGCCCAGGCAGACTGGATATGCTATCCCAGGTAGACCAGCCACAGTGGCAGGACGCCTTCACTTCTGCACACTGCCTTAGGTTCTTGTTTTTTGTCTGAGGTCAGTTAAGATTTAACTAAGAAGAGCTTTTATTTGGTCTTGTCTATCAGACACAGCTGCCTAAAGCTTGTCTTCTATCAAGCTGCTTACTTTTGCTGGCCAAAGCCCAGCAGAAAGTGCCAGGCCAGGTCTTAGCTGTTGGCCACTGTTTTCTGCTCCCTACCAAGCATGTTTCTGTTATTCTGCATGATTTCTGTTCCAGAAAATGATAAAACTACAGCCAAAATATGGATTACTTTTGTGTTTTAGTCTACAAAGTAAAAACCTTTATTTTATCTTTTAGATTATTATCTAGCACAACTCCAAATTTCATTTAGGAGAGCGGAGGCTGATGAAATGGCTTAGCAGGTAAAAGCAGTTGCTATACAAACCTGAGAACATGAATTCAAGCGGGCAAGTCACTCCCACGCGTGTGCCATGGCATGAGCAGAACTTCCACACACAGATCATACACAGTAAATAAGGGAATAGATCTTTAAAGTAAAAGAGCCTGACTTAGAATTAGTAAGCAGAGGGGGAGGGGCAGAGCTCAGGTAACAAGCCTACTTACCTTAGTCAAGATGCACGCAGTGTGACTACTGCCCATGGCCTGAATGCTTACTGCAAAAACTACTGCCAGATTTGGAACACAAAACACGTTTTTTCATAACCACATAAACAGTTCAGAGTTTTATTCTTTTGGTTTTGGACTATTTTTTTCACATTAGAAAAAACAATATGAGTTAAAACTGACATTATACTCCAGACTCAGAGGGAATTCCTCCTTGCCTTTTTATCATAAAAGGCAGATTATGTTTTCCCAGCCTCCCCGACATCTGCAGGGCTACTTAAACACACTGCTTCTTCCGTTGGCACCTTCCTGTGTCCTAAGCAAACACGCCATCATTCCACTGGCCTGAAAACACTTAGGTGTAAGAAAAACCAACACACAGAGAAAATATTCTGAATTTTCAGTTCCAAGAAACCTTCTCCTCTGTGCTTTTACATTTTAGAAACTTTGCAATAAAGAAGCCTATACAGTCCCTGTTGGCCAGCCAGATCACGTCTTCTCTCTTGGCATCTTGGAGACAATCAGGGTCCACACTCTGCAGTGGCACAACTGATGGATCAAATCGCTGCAGCTGTCTCAGTTGTTCCAGGGACAGGCCAGCTCCCACCATTCCTTGTCCTCCAATCTGTGGCTCCTGTTGGGAAGAAATAAACAAATGTCCTATAATTAGTAAGCTGCCTCTTTATAGCTTAAGTTACAAAGGCAAACTGGTTGTGCATCTGACCCCTCCCAGAAGCATACAGAGAGGTAAATATCCTTGCTTTTATGGGATGCACATGCCAATCTGAGGGAAGCAGAGAAGCAGTGATCTGTGGCCACCTGATGGAGGAGTTCTTGCTTATTTAGGATCCTCCATGCTTATCAGGTACTATGATTTTATGAAATGCCTGAAGGTTATGACTAGAAGCCTGTAGATTTAAAAATGCAGTCCTAACATATTTCAGCTATAAGACCTAAGCAAGCAGCTTTACCTAACTCCATTTATCCAAGTATACAATAGGTAAAATACCAGTTCTTTTTTTTGTTTTCATAATTTTATAGCTCTTGAAGACTCAGTTTTCAAACCATGTAGTACATTTCTCTTCTGACTATGAGTAGAGAATGATGAATTTCATTGACTTTTAGTTGTTAGTAGAGTTTTTAAACTCAGGTTGATAAAAATGGCTGTTACAGCAGTGGTACTGGGCACAGTCCCTCTATGTGCTTGGAACTCCTGCCTTGCCCTACTCTGCTGCAATAGGCCCAAAGCAGATTCTTTATTAACCAATGGTATTCACAGCATACAGAGGGGAATCCCACATCAATGTCTAGTTTCTTGAGTTCTTTATATATTTTGGAGTTCAGTCTTCTGCCTGATGTGGGGTTAGTGAAGATCTTTTCCCATTCTTGTAGGCTGCCATTTTGTCTTAGTGACCGTGTCCTTTGCCTTACAGAAGCTTCTCGGTTTCAGGAGGTCTCATTTATTAACTGTTGCTCTCAGCAATCTGTGCTACTGGTATTATATTTAGGAAGGGGTCTCCTGTGCCCATGCATTCGAGGCTACTTTCCACTTTCTCTTCAATGAGGTTCAGTGTGGCTGGATTTATGCTGAGGTCTTTGATCCATTTGGACTTGAGTTTTGTGAATGGCAATAGATATAGATCTATTTGCATTCTTCCACATGTTGACATACAGTTATGCCAGCACCATTTGTTGAAGATGCTTTCTTTTTTTCCATTGTAAAATTTTAACTTCTTTGTCAAAAATAGGATGTTCATAGGTATGTAGATTAATATCAGGGTCTTTGATTTGATTCCATTGGTCCACCTGTCTGTTTTTATGTCCATACAAACCTGTTTTCATCACTGTAGCTCTATAGGAGAGCTTGATGTCAGGGATAGTGATGCCTCTGGAAGTTCCTGTATTGATGGAGGTGGGTCTTGTATCTTATCTGTTGATTTCATTGGTTAATAATAAAGAAACTGCCTCAGCCCTCATAGGACAGAAAATTAGGTAGGTGGAGTAGACAGAAGAGAATGCTGGGACAAAGAAGCTGAGTCGAAGGAGTTGCCATGATTCTCCCGCTCCAGACAGACGCAGGTTAAGATCCTCCCTGGTAAGCCAGCTCATGGGCTACACAGAATATTAGAAATGGGTTAGAACAATATGTAAGAGCTAGCCAATAAGAAACTGGAACTAGCCGGGCCAGGCAGTGTTTGAAAGAATACAGTTTCCGTGTAATTATTTCGGGCATAAGCTAGCCATGCGGGCGGCCGGGTGCCGGGGACGCAGCCCTGCTGCTCCCAATTTCAACACTGTATTGTACAGGATTGTTTTGGCTATTCTGTTTTTTTTTTTTCCATATGAAGTTGAGTACTGTTCTTTCAAGGTCTGTGAAGTATTGTGCTGGGATTTTGATGGGGATTGCATTGAATCTGTAGATTGCTTTTGGTAGAATTACCATTTTTACTTTTTTGACCCTACCTATCCAAGAGCATGGGAGATCTTTCCATTTTCTGAGATCTTCCACAATTTCTTTCTTCAAAGACTTAAAGTTCTTGTGCCACAAGTCGTTCACTTCTAAGCTAAATAAAGAATCAATATTGGGCCTAGTATATCCCAGACTCTCGGCAAGTGGAACTTTATCAGTGAAGGAAATGCGCAGTCAGGCCTCACATCCTCTAACAGCAAATGGAGCCGGCCCCTGAGACATTTAAAATACCTTCAACTGACTTTATGATAGAAGTTTTCCTATTTTACACACACTAGAAAAATACATATTAGAAAAGGATATATAAACCATGGCTACATCAACTAGGTTTTAAGGAACATAAATAAATTCAATGATTTTTGAAAACCACTAGTGCCAAATATTCATGAATTCCAACAAGCCATCATTCTACAACAGGTGTCTTGGACACTGGTGGAAAAGAAACTGCTGTCAGGAAAACATTGTCATCATATATGGCAGTGAGGGGAGAACCTTCCATTAATTACTCCTTTATACACATTCCACATAAATTCTGAAGTCTTGCTTCCATTTACATGTAATTGTCTCAATCTCTCTGTCTAGGGCCATTTCTAGATTGTTTTATCTTTAACCTTTATCTTCTGCCTGGTAGAGTTCTGCATAGGAAGCCATAAAGTCAGCTGCCCAATGTCTCTGAATGTCAGCATCCCTATAGACACAGAATCAGCTTTATAAAAAGCATAACAAAAACGCAGATTAGTACCCACTAAAACAAACAACAAAGGGTTTTAAAATATCCTATATTAATATAAAAGTGTAAAGGGTGACACTCCTGAGCTGCTGCTTGTCCCCATGGCTTTTTTTTTTTTAAGTATCCTGCAGCCCACTTTTGAAGAGGTGTGTTTGACGTGGCAGGAAGCAAAAATGTTCAATCTTTTTCAAATCAAAAAAAAATGTAGGACTGGGAATGAAGTAAAAGTCTTATATGGGGATGGAGAAATGGCTCAATGGTTAAGAGCACGTGCTGCTCTTGCAGAGGACCAGATTTGTTCTTAGCATCCCTATATGGTTCACAACCATCTGTAACTCCAAAGTCAGGGGACTTGATACCTTTTCTGACCTGATGGGCAACAAGAATGCACAAGGTATATTTACATACATGTGAGCAAAATACAAATACGCATGAGTAAATCTATCCAAAAAGAAAAACAGGAAAGCATTTTTTGGAGATTCAGTGTTAATACCAACAAGTGGAATAAACGGCAGAAAGATGCCCAAGCCCATCCGGTTTAGCACTGGCAGACTGCAGAGAGCGTATGCTCTCTCATTTGGTCATGTGAATCCCCATGGTCAGTCAGAAAACGCAATCACTCCTATGAACAGAGCACTTCAGAGTCTGGATGCAGCTCTGCATAACATCCTGTATATGCCAGTGCACATCATTCTCTGAGACGCTGGTAACACTGGGAAATGTTAGTGTTCTCACCTGGGGTTGAAGCTGAAGGCAGGGGAACGTCGTAAGGGCCCAGGCAACTTGCTCTTCATTTTCTGCCAGAGTGACTGTACATGTGCTGTAAACCAGCACTCCCCCTGGCTTCAGCAGCTGAACCGCCTAAAGAAAGCAAGGATTAGACAATGCATGTCATAAGACCCAATAAATACCCGAAGTTAGAGAATAGCACACTGTATCTTGCAAGCACTTGGTAGTGATAAAATGCTGTCCTGTTTGACACAGCCTGTTCCTGTAGTTATAGCACAATGTATACCCTGCTGATGCATGCAGCCTTACCTGGGAACTTTATGATTTACACAGACTTAGCCTCTCACATACATCCTTCAGCTAATTCCCTTCCCATAATGTCTTTATTCCCAAACTTATATTTGTAAGGAGACCTCCTTTCTGAATCCATGTATAAGTATTCAGTTGTCATGCCAATGTTTCTGCTACCTCAGGAAATGTGTCCGCAAACAAATAATCATTCTCTGAAACCTGCTAGAAGAGGTTTCCCAGGCTTCCCAAAACTCCTCCCTGAACCACAGGGCACCAACTATGCTTGCAGTCCTTTACTTTCCCCATCCACAAGCCAGCCCCACTGGCCCTTCTTTCATTATATAATGCAGAGATGGCTCAGTGCGCAAAAGCCCTTACTGCTCCTGCAGAAGACCAAGTCCCAGCATCCATATGATGGTTCACAACTGCTTATAATTCCGGCTACAGGGGATCTGATACCCTCTTCTGATATCTGCTGGTGCCTGCATGCACAGAGTACTCATACATACATTCAGGTACACATGCACACACATGGAATGAATTTTAAAAAATGTGTGTGTGAACACACACAGTCCAGTTTTTGGCAACTACTCCCAACGTCCACTACCATCAGTTTCAGCTTCTTTATCTTTCATCTGCATTGCACAACAGTTAAATCTGCCAGCCTGGTTCCCTGCCCTCTATAAGCCAGTCTCCGCACACCAGTGTGAGCAATGCTTTTCAACTTGCTGCTTCTCAGTTTCACAAGCAAAGTCCTGAAAGCATTTTCAAGGCTCTACATGAAGGTGTTCCTGCCACACCAACCTTCCCTGTTGTCTTTCCTGCCCTTCTGGATTAGCAACCTTGTCTTCCTGCTATTCCTGTAGCAACCAAAGTCACTGCTACTTGAGGAGTCCAGACCAGGTAGACACTCTCCTCCTCCTCCTCCTCCAAGCTGCTTGTTCCTTCACAATGCTCCACCCATTGCTGCTTACAGAGCCCTGTTCTGTAATGTGCTTCCTGGTTTAAAAGACCCCACAGCACACCTTTCTTCCTGTAGTTTGCTCTACAGCGTTAATGTCATGTAATACAATAAACTGCCAGTTATAAAGGAAGCTCTTAGAGAAGGCATGGCCTGTCTGCTTTCTCAGTTATGAGCTAGACATTAGTTTGCATGCTGTAGGTATTTAATAGATATTGGGACTACAGTGCTAAAGTAATTTTCTCCTAAATATCTTAAGTTTATCTCTCTTTTCTTTTAAGGCAGGTTCTCACATATTCCAGGCTGGCCTCAAATTCTGTCTAGTCAAAGATCCCTACCTCCAGAGTGCTAGGATCACAGCAATGTGCTGTTCCACTCAGTTTATGTCTTACTGGGGAATCTAATCCAGAGCTCCATACATACATGATAGGAGTAATGACTGATGCTGTCACCTGTCAGGATCTAGAATCACCAAGGAAACAAGCTTCTTGGCATGTCTGTGACAAATTGTAAGATTAGGTTAACAGAGGTGGCAAGCCCACCTTCTGCGTAGGAGCACTAACCCATAGGCTAAGGCTCTGGACTGATTATAAGAAGACAGTGAAATGAGTACCAGCATCCACTGATCTCAGCCTCAGTATCTCAGATGCAGTGGGACCAGAAGCCTCCAGTGCCTGTTGCCATGATGTCCTCACCATGATGGACTGGACCTTTGAACTGTGAGCAGAATCAACGCTCCCTTCGCTAAGTGGTTTCCTTGGGTATTTTGTCACAGCAACAAGAAGTGATAACACATCAGGCCAGCACTCTTCCAACTGGGCTACATCATTAATGCTTATCTTTTCAAGCTCAGAGAAATTTACTGAGTTCTTTGAGAAACTTACACAATGTATTTTGATCATTTTTAGCCTCTTCTCCTGACTCTCCCTTGATTCACACCCCCCATTTCCTACCCATCTAACTCATGTTTCTTCTTTTTTTATAAACTCCTAATTTTGTTTAAAGTTTTAATTAGAATCTTTAAAAAACTAATAATTTATGCTTGCACTTTAACTCAAATAATATAAACACTGTGGCTCTGTGCCAGCTACTATGGTAGACTTTCACAGGAAGTTTCTCAAAGGTTTCTTACCAACAGTGAAGCCAGGCTGTTTCCACTGAGGTATTTCTAGCAGAGAGTGCTCTGCTCCCCATCTCTGCAACTGGAAATCAATGTACCCAAAGTCACTAACATGGAGGAGTCGTGGCTCAAATGAAGACAGTTCTGATCCTAAGGTTCACATTCTCGATGTCTAACCCTGTCTCATACACCTGCTCCCTGACTTCCCCCTCAGGGCTAGGCCTCTAGCCATGGCACAGGGCACACCTGCTCTCTAAGTTCTCCCACGCAGCTGGTCCTTTAGCCATGGCACAGGGCACACCTGCTCTCTGACTTGCCCTTCACAGCTGGCCCTCTGCACTGAAATCATCCATCCACTCTCAGTAACCTTTCTGACCTTCCATCTTTAATATACCCGAACAACAACAGAAGGAAAAAGCATTAAAGCAGTAACTTCCTTTACCCTCAGGCATTCTGTCTGGAGAGCATCCTTTGTGCTGCTTGGGGCTTTGGAGCCAGAGGCATGTTCTCTGATGACTATTCTGAAAACTATTTAAATAATCCACAACTAGTGCTTCCTTTGTGTATAAAAGGAGGCAGCAAGAAAGAAAGAGCAGAAATGTACTCGAAGACAACCTTAGAGATTGAATATAACTACAGCATATTAGTTGTTGCTGAAGCCTATGTATTATCATTGTAGGAAAGTGGAGAAATAATGAACTCATCTCTCATGGAAAGAACACTGCAGTGGGGCTGGAAGGTGCCTGTGCCCCTAATAGCACTCACTGCTCTTGCAGGGGACTTAGGTTCAGTTCTCAGCACCCACGTGGCAACTCATCCCACCTGTATCCAGTTCCAGAGGCCTTCTGGTTTGTTCAGACTCCTGAATGCAGGCAGTATACAGATAAGTAAACATACATCTGCTTAGAAGTTTTTAAAAATAGAAAAGTTGAAATTAAAATAGAAGGAATCATATTTTGAAATATACTAAGTTTAACAAAACTGACAAAAATTCTCAAATACTCTGTGTAATGTACTAGATCAATTAAATTTGCAGTTGTTATGATCCTTCTACATTCTGGAGGTAATCATGCCTAGTTTAATAATGCGTTAGCCTGTTTTAGACTTTAGACTTCTAATCTGATAACTAAACAAAGCCAGGAAGAGTAATTTAATTATATTGAATTATTAAATCAATTAGCAATTGTGTACGAACAACTCAGCCAATTGTGTTTTTGTTTTGTTGTTCTATTTCCATTTAAGGAGTAGACTGTTTACAATCAACTAAATGTCTCACTGAAAACATTCTATGAGAAACTGGTTGTACATTTTAAAGGAGGGGTCAACACAAAGGAAAACTCCCCACATTTAAAGCTGTAACTGGGCAGGACGAGGCACACAAACCATCACAGCACTTGAGAGGCTGTGGGTCGAATATTGAAAGCTTGCATCCAGCTTAAGATACACAGCAAGACCCCATTTTAAAAAAACTAAAGCCACACAAACACACTAGGTATTCCCAATCTCTTCCTTGTCTCTAGAAAATAAATAAAATTTGTCATGTCAACTGAATAATTCAATGACAAAAGCCGTTCATTTGTGAAGGACCCCAAACTTAACCTCTGTACTCATTAAGTAACTACCCTTTCTCTCAACATACTCCCTTTGTTCTAACCTCTGTTCCTAGGAATTTGCCTATTCTAATTACCTTATAATTGGGCTCATAAAAAATTTTCCTTTTGTGTCTGGTTTACTTCACTTAGCATAGTCTCCAAGTTCATCTATATTGTAGCATGCACCAAATTTCACTCCTTTTAAAGGCTGAATAAATATTTCAAGTGGCCATATCAAATCCTATACATCTAGTCTCTGCCCATGCCTCCTGTTTGCCTCCACCCTTTGTCCACAGTGAAGGTCGCTGCTACACACAAAAGCTGTGGTAGACAGAACACAGAACTAGCAATCGTCAGCTTCTTTATAGTGAAAGAGCATCACATACCACATTAAAGAGTTTTCGCTGTAGTGGCTGATATGATGTCACTTCCTTCAAAGTCCAAGTACAGGCCATATTTGGCCTCTGTCCCATTCCACTGCAGGGTGCATCAAGAAGAATTCGGTCAAAAGATTCTGGTAAGAATGGAGGTGCCCCTACAAAAGAGAATTATAAATATTATCTGCTTTCTTACATATAGGTCTAGAAAAGAATAAAATATTCTTGACATATAAACAATAATGAGAAATTAACATTGTAATCTAAGATTTTAAATAAAGAAAAATCCTTTCTCCCTTTAAGCAAGTCCTTAGCTAAGTTAAGTATTGCTTTTATTTCATATAGATTTGATTTCATAAGGACTGAAAATGCAGTTGTTATAGACGAGTTTTGATATTTTAACACAAACCCACACCAAATCAAATTAAGAACTTTAACTCCTAGTGTTAGAAGCCATAATGCCCCAGAGCCAGTACCAATTCCAGTCATCTGTCATAGAGCAAGTCGTTTCCTTGGTAATGCCTCCTGCAGACAGCACCAGAAAAATCAGGGCCTGCCGGGCTCTGACCAGACATACTGGTCTGGCTGCTGTTCTTTAGTCTCCTGGTTTTATGGCCATGTGTATGGCTTCTGTTCACTATGATCCATTAACCTCCTGGATTTACGAGTCCATCAAGTTTTCCTTGTGGTCCTCCTGAGTAATTTCTGATGAATTTGGTGTTACTGAAGAAAGTCGTGAAGCTTGCGTTCTTTACCTGCAAGCTTGCCATTGCTACTGATCACTTTTATTTAAACACAGAATTACCTTCTGTCTTTATCTGGTTAGAAGGCTGTAAAGACACAAGCTGTTATTAGTGTCACCCACCTTCATCTAGAATCTTTTTTTTTAATGTTTCATCTACTGTCCTGGAAAATATATTTCTCAAATAAATCTTTACTTTCTGATACATACTGGTAATGTCCCCTCATCACCCCCCCCCAAATACAAATTATACTAGTATATGCTGTCATTATGAGTGTGTGTACCTGCTTTTCCAAAATCCTCATCAAAACAGCTGTTTTTGACCAATTGTATCTTTCCTTTAAATAAGTAAATCCTCTGTATAGCTTTTCCCTGCTGAAACCATCACCTTTTTTGCTTGTTTGATTTTGTTTTTATTGAGCTATATATTTTTCTCCCCTCCCCTCCTCCCTTTTACCCTCTCCCATGATCCCCATGCTTCCAATTTACTCAGGGAATCTTGCCTTTTTCTACTTCCCATGAAAATTAGATCCGTATATGTCTCTCTTAGGGTCCTCTTAGTTGTCTTGGTTCTCTGGGGCTGTGAATTGTAGGCTGGTTTTTCTTTGCTTTATGTTGTGCAAGAGGGATGGCTCAGCTGTTAAAGGCTAGGCTCACAACCATTGCCTTTTCTTACTGAACAAACAGTTATTATCTATAGAAGATAGGAATCTTTCCCATAGTTTTCTATGATGAATTCCCATAATCTATTATCTTAGCTTTAGTTTTTTAACCTGCATACATAACTGCCAACTATTAAAATTTAGCTTTCATTCTTTCAAGTGGTCCACAGTGTGAAGTCATCTTAAATTGGGGCAAATGAAAACCATACTTGCCTGCTGGCTTCTAGAGCCACTAACAGGAAGTACAGGAGTGATGGGATGGGGTGAGAACAGACTTTCTCCTCATCATCTGTTCTCTCTCTCTCTCTATCTTTCCCACTTTCTTTTTTGTTTTTGAGACAGGGTTTCTCTGTGTAACAGCCCCACAGAGATCAGCCTACCTCTGCCTCCCAAGTGCTGGGATTAAAACCGCCCAGCTCCTCATCTGTTTTCTTGTCAAAACCTTCACAGCCCTTTTCACCTTGGCACCACCAGTCCCATCCTTTCCTGGAGTAGCCAGAGCCCTCTACAGGTGATATCCCAGGTGCAGAAAGTCCCTGTTCTATGTGGAGGCGCCTGCCGCAGCAGCTGACAATTCTAGGTCACCACAGAGTTTCCCTTCTGCTTTACAGCCTGCAAGGATCCATTTGCCTTGCTCCGCTTACTGCTTATTTTCATGCTAAGTAGTCTCTCACTGATGTAAATTTATACTAATTTAGCTATTGAAATACTTTGTACATTGTGTTTTTTATTCTGTGGCCATCTGAATTCATCTGAAATACAACTCTCAACAACTGCCTAAAAGCTAAGAAATCTGCAGTTCCACAAAGAACTTCCATGCAAACCACAGGTTTGCTCTGAATATGCTCCTGAAGCTCCGAATTTGCAGGGCCCTACACTAGGACTAGGACAAACCAGTAACAGGATGTAACTCAGAACTCACTCACACCTATAGGACACAACTATACCTGGTAATCCTGCTGAGGGCAATGGCAATGCCTAATCTCACCGTTCCTAATAAACTGTGATGGCTGCTCTTTCTTGCCAATTTGGCTGGTTTGAGGAATATCTGAGACATTAGTAAAGTACACTCTGGGTAAGTTTTTGACTATATTTCCAGAGAAGATCCCATCATAAGAGCCCTAATCTAGGACACTGATCAACTCCTACTGCTGGGAGGCAGTAGTGGCAGGACTAGTTGGAGGACCCTGGGGGAATCTTCTTGGAGACAATACCTTGCCCTAGCTGTTATTCCCCTTTGCTCTGGTTCCTGGTCGCACAATAAATGGACTGTTGTGCTCTACCATGCTCTGTCTGCCACTATGGACTAAAGCCTCTGACGAGAGTGAGCCAAATTACATCTATCTTCTTTACACAGCTTCTGTCCAACATTTTGTTTCATCCACAAACAAGAAGCTAAGACGGTGCACTTAATCAATGACACAGTATGTTATATACACATTAAAGATTAAGATCACAAAAATGGTCACCAAATGCACTTGGTGCGACTGAACTTTCTCTTATTAAAACTAGAAAGGCAGGGGCTGGAGAGATGGCTCAGTGGTTAAGAGCACTAACTGCTCTTCCAGAGGACCCGGGTTCAATTCCCAGCAGCCACATGGCAGCTCACAACTGTCTGAAGATCTAGTTCTAAGGGATCTGACACCTTCATACCAATGCACATAAAATAAAAGTTAAATAAACTATAATAAATGTTTAAAAAAAAAAGCTAGAAAGGCAGCTGGGTGTAGTGGTGAATGCCTTCAATCACAGCACTCTGTAGGCAGAGTAACTTTGAGGCCAGCCTGGTCTACAAAGCAAGTTCCAGGACAACCAGGGATACACACACAGAGAAACCCTGTGTTGAAAAACAAAACCATTTCCATAATAATATACCATAATACATATGTTCTATTTGCCAGAAGCTTTTCCTAACTTTAAAACTCCAGAGAAAGCACCAAAAGATGGAAAGAGCACCCATGCTCATAGAATGGTAGAATAACACTGTGAAAATGGCTCTATTTTGCAAAGCCATCGCCACCAAATTTCCAAAGACATTCTTCAAAGGAAAAAGCAATCCTAAAATTCATTAGGAAGCAAAAAGATCCAAATAACCAAAGCAACCCTAAACAGAAAGGCCAGCACTAATGACAGCCAGCTCCAGATTACATCACAAAGCCATAGAAACAGACACAGGCATACAGCACTGGGACACAGGCACAGGCACAGGCAACAGCAGCCAAAGGAACAGAGTGCGAGCCTCAAAATCAAACAGCCATGGCCACCTCATTTTTGGCAAAGGCGAAAAGTGTACTTGCAAAGACAGACTCTTCAACAAATGAAGCTAAAAACTACAATGAACAGAAAGACAAGAGTGTCAAAGAGAAAATTCATTGAGTAGAAGAAAAATGAGGCACATCCAAAGAGCAATTATTAGAAAATATATAGTCAAAAGGAAAACAGATGAAGAGAGCAGCAAATTCAAAGGCCTGAGACTGTGAGCGACATCTCATCCAAACCACCTAAAGTAGTAAGTTACAATAATTTGTGTAGATATATTCCATATAGAAATATACAAATTATGCAATAAAAACAAAAATGGAGAACTAAGAAAAAATGTTGAGCTTTTAATGTAAAATTCAGTCATTATCAGCTTCACATGGCCTGTGATGGATATGTTTTACAGTTCATAAGATTTGCTATCAAACCCTACAATACATAAGCAGAGGATTAACACAGCACAACAGAAACACACCTAACTACACAAGAACACAGCAGCAGAGAAAGCAAATGCATCTATAAATCACTTGGGAAATAAGGAAAAAACGACTCAAACAAGTCTTCACCACTTGGTTATTTATTGGAATAAACTGGATTAAATACTTCAGACACAAGACAGAATAGTTATACATACTAAAATCAAACAAACACCAACCATTCATTGCTGTAATGGCTCATCACTATACTTCACTTAGGGTCACCTAAGAAACATAGCTCAGGAAGTGACAGTGTGGGTGCATCTGTGGAGGCATTTCAGAGATGTTTAACTGGATAAAGGACCCACCCTAAATGGGCAGCATCATTCTATGGGTTGAAGTCCAGGAGAATGAGGACAAAGAACTGGAAAGCAGCATTCAGCTCTCTCTGCCTCCCACCTATGATACAATGTGACCAGTTCCTCATGCTCTTGCTGCAACAGCTGGAGAAGCACCTGACACTGCTTCTCCATGACAGGGAGGTCATGGAATACACCATGGTGGAAACTCATGAAGACAGACTACACCATGATAGGAGACTAGAAACCCAGGGTACGCCTCCACAATGTGAGGCTAAGGAACCTTTCCCTAATTTGCTTTTGTCAGTGTTTTACCATAGCAACTAATACACACCCCACAGGGGGAAGGATTTAGATGGGCATTAATTGCTCTTCAAAAGCAGATATGAAAAAGAAATGGACAATTTTCTGCATTAGTATCACTTACCAAAATTAAATCAAGACCAGATAAATTAATTAAATAGACCTATAATTGCTAAGGAAATAGAAATAGTCATTAAAAATTTCCCACCCAAAAGAAGCCTAGGGCCAAACAGTTTTAGCTCAGAATTCTACAAGATTTCCAAAGAAGAGAAAAAAAACCAATACTCCTCAAATTGTTCCATACATCAGAAACAGAAGGAGCTTGCCAAACTCTTTTTACAAGGCTACTTGGAAACAATCTAGATGCCCCTCAACTGAAGAATGGATAAAGAAGATGTGGCACATTTATACAATGGAGTACTACACAACAGAAAAAATGATGACATCTTGAATATCACAGGCAAATAGATGGATTTAGAAAAAAACAATATTGAGTGAGGTAACCCAGACCCAGAAAGACAAATATAGTATGTACTCCCTCATAAGTGGCTTTTAGACATAAAGCAAAGAAAAACCAACCTACAGTCTACAACCCCAGAGAACCTAGACAGCAAAGAGGACACTGAGAGAGACATACATGGATCTAATAGGAAGGAGAAAAAGACAAGATCTCCTGAGTAAATTGGGAGTGTGGAGGTCACAAGAGAGGGTAGAAGGGAAGAGGGGATGAATGGATGGGAGTGGAGAAAAATAGCCCAATAAAAGCAGTAAGAAAAAAGACATGGCCAATGAACATATGGACAAGATGTTCACTATAACTAACCTTCAAGAAAATGCAATGAGAACCATAAGACATATAATCTGACCCCTATGAGGAAGTAGTTATTAAAAGAAAGGAACAGAAGGTAATTTGGTGAGAGCATGAAGAAGAAAGGGCACACATGTGCTGTTTGAAGAACATAAATAATACAACCACTAATGAAGTGGCATGGTTCTTCAAACAATACATTATAAAGCTGCTGTGTGATACAGCAGTCCTGCTTGCTAGTGGGAATACAAGAATGGACACAGATGACTGGGAACTGTTGTCGAGGTATCTGCACTCCCATGTTCACTTCAACAGTATTTACAAAAGCAATGCTACAGAATCAACCCAACTGTCTACCAATAAGAAATGTTATTTTCAAAATGTAGTGTATATACACAACGGAATATTATTCAGCCTTGAAAAGAAATCTGCCATGTGCAATAGCATGGAAGAATCCAAGACAGTTAAGCAAAAATAAGCTGGGCACCAAAAGACAATTGTATCTGGAAGCTAAAAAGCAGAGCATATTAAAGCAGACAGAGACAGTGATTACCAGGGAATAGCTGGGAAGGACAGGGAGATACTGTGGAAAAGCTACTAAGTTTACCTAGACAGGAAGAGTCATTTTTCAAGATCTAACGCACAACAGGATTGTACACTTAGCAATAACATATATTACATTTCAAAGCTGTTGAGAGTAAATTTTGAGTGTCTTGCCAACTATTATCACATTAAGACATTAGCAGACATTACATTAAATATTACATAAATACTAATTATCTTAATTACTTTCCGGTCACTCCACATTCATTCCTGTATTAAGATCCAGTAAGTACATGTAATTATGAGACAAAAACACAGAACAATAAATACAAATTAAGGTTACCTTCTGTGCCATCAGCCATATCAAGTTTAAGTGCCTTTGTCGCGTCGAAGCAAAACGCCCTGATAGAACGAAGCCCTAATAATGAAGCATTCTGCTTTAATTTCTCCACTTTATTCAATATTTTGTCCAGTGCTATTACTTCTCCCTAAAAATGAAAATAAAGTATAAATCCAAAGCAGTTATAAAAATCACCAATACAAAAGGCTAGTGTAAAACTGTAGTCTCCCGTTTTCCTCCAATGCCTGCTGGATTCTTTTTTTTAATTTTATTTTATATTTATATATTTATTTATTTTGGTATTTTTAATAATTTATTTTATTTTTTAAAAAATAAAACTATCTTTTTTCATTTTACATACCAATCCCAGTTCCTACTCCCTCCCCTCCTCCCACCTTTACCCCTCCACTTCACACCCCACCCACTCCTCAGAGAGGGCAAGGCACATGACTTTGGGGAAGGTCCAAGGTCCTCCCTACTATATCTAGGCTGAGTAGGTATCCATCCAAAAGAGAATGGGTTCCCAAAAAGCCAGTACACGCAGTAGATAAACTTTGGTGCCACTGCCAGTGGCCCCCAATGTGCTTTAACCAAATGTACATCAAATTTACAATGGCCGAGGGGTGTGGCCCAGTGGTAGAGGGTTTCCTAGCAAGCAAAAGGTCCCGGAGTCAAATCCCAGCACTGAAAAATTAATTCCTTAAATACCTAGACTTTCCTTTAAACAAACACATTCCTGCCAATAGTTCTTACATATAGCCTACCTTTAATCTATAGAAGTCAAAACTGGAAAAAAAAAAAGTTTGCTATATTTTCAAGAAGCTTAGAAAAACTCTTGAAGGTAAACATAAAACCACCAATCTCGAGTGACTGCTCCCCTGGGGAAAAACGTGAGCTTCCTCTATGAATCCTCTAGCTTCAAGGAATTACATACAAATGAATATCGGTAAAGATGATCACCGTCTTAATATTTCAAGGAATACAAAATTCTTTGAATGGTAACCAAAATGAGAACACCATTAGCCCAACTTCTGTGCGCCACAGCACAACGCTTTGGAAAGGCTTAAAGCTCATACTATAAGACACCAGGATCAGGAGGCAACTGCACAGTGCTCAAGTGTGACCCAGTGAAGAAGAGCTGTATGGTGGTTTGTATGAAAATCACCCCCGTGGCTCACAGGGAGTGGTATTATTTGAAAGAATCATGGCATATGGCCTCGTTGAGTAGGTTTGCCCTTACTGGAGAAAGTGTCATTGGGTATGGGCTTTGTAGTTTCAGGGGCTCCACCAGGCCCAGTGGCTTACTCTCTCTTCCTGCTGACTGTGGATCCAGATCCTCTCTATCACCATGTGTGCCTGCATACCGCCGTGCTTCTCTCCATGAAAATAGACTAAATCTCTGAACTGTAAGCCAGCTCCAGTTAAATGTTTTCCTTAATGAAAGTTGCTGTGGCCATGGTGTCTCTTCATAGCCATAGAAACCCCAAGACAGTCAGTAAAGCAAAGACTCCTCCAAACAGGGACAAGGAAGAGGGTCAGAGTCACAAAGGCAGAGACAGGAACACAGCCCAGCAGCATGATCCCCAGGTGGCCCTGGTGAAGAGAGACCGGCAATCCTACTTGGAGGACAAAGCCTTGAGCTGGTTTTACTGAGGCAGTGCCTCTGGTGGTCGGCATAGAGGGGAATCCCACTTGTCACTCCCTAGGACTCACTGGGGGCTACCTCAAGGAGGATGCTATTATTTAAAATGAGTTACCTGGCATCAGAGAGCAGGCAATAACCACAAGTCAGGAAATTTAAATGTCATGTGCTGTGGGCCTGGGGCTGGCTGGGCAGAGCAGGAGGGCCAGGGGCTGACAGTCTGAAAAGTGCAGGTTGCAGGAGTCTCTCATCAGAACCTCCACAGCCTGGCATTATCCCACCGAGTGGGAATAGCAGGGGTGTCTAAGTGGACTAGGTCTGAGGTCACAGGGTACCTCAACCTCAAGAGCACCCTTTGGTGTTGGAGAGCCCCAAGACCTCCAGGGTGCAGATGATTATGACGCAGGAGATTTTGAAAGTACAAAGACAGGTCTTCCTGTTTGCTTGGTCTAGCTGCCTTAAAAGACACATGCCAGAGGTTTTTTAGGGTAGGGCCCACGGCCCTGAGGCACCCCCTCAGGCAGTGAAGCATTAGGGCCACTTGTGATTCTCTGTGTCCCTTAGAAGTCATCAAAGGCATGCAGAAGTTTGGCAATACACTTAGTCTCAAACATTATTCTTATCTGCCCTATACAAATTAAAACCACCATTATTCTGGTAACTACCATTGTATTCTGTTTTCATAGGGGTATAAAAAGTCTGATTGCTTGGAATAAACTTGTCTCAGCCTCTAATTTTTGAGAGCCCCTCTAACCTGGCCTGGTTTTCATTCCCACAGACCATGTCAGAACACCCTGATTTGGTAAATACGTGCTGGTGCTTACACTAACATTTTTCCTTTACTTCTTTAAAATAAAAAGCTATGTTTTCCATTTTTATTCCTCAGCTTCTCTCCATATAATTTTGCCTTTGAGCCATCTCATTACTGGAAAATCTAATTTCTTTTCTTTCCCCTAATCTGAGACAAGCATTCATGATACCAAAATAATCTATTCAATGAATTAAGAGCAGAAAACTTCCCAAATACAGAGACTGAAATGGAATCCAGACAAGAAAAAACAAACAAACAAAAAGCTATTTAAAAACCCAACTAAGCTTTTTCAGAGAAGAATCTCTCCACAACTTATTACAGCCAATATAAAGAGCAAAGAAAGAATATTAAAAGATGCAAAGGATGACCTCAAGTCAGCTACAAAGACAGTTACACCAGAATAACACAGATTTCTCACAGATTCCTCAAAGCCAAGAAAACAAGGGATAATATATTTCAAGTCCTCACGGTAAATGACTACCAACCAATATTGATGGATCTAACAAAACTATTAAAATTGGAGAATAAGGACATCTCAAAATAAGCACAAACTAAAACAGCTCAAAACCACTGAGAAGTACTGCAGAAGCTACACGAAGAAACCACTACCCAAAGAGAAGGAAAACAGTCTCAACCAGGAGAGAACAAGAAGGACTATATTTCTTCAGAGGAATGGCTAAATAAAGAAGACCTGAAATCCATCATGTAACACAGAAAGTAAGCATATCTCTGATAGTTATAGGGGAGAAAGTAAGGCGCATCAATCCAGAAAAATAGGAAACGACCAACAAAATTAAAAGAATTTGTTGGGTTGGCAAAATGGCTTAGCAGGAGTAAAGGAACTTGCTGCCAAACCTGACAGAATGGATAGAACTCAATAAGACTTTTAACCTCTGCATGCACTTTCTCCTGCCCTGAACAAATAAATGTAAAACAAAATTAATTAATACATATATCTCATAAATTATATTAAGTTCATTAACACATCAATAGAGTGGCAAAGACTAGCTAACTGGATGAAAAACCCAGATCCAACTTTAAGTATCTGTTATTCCCAAGAAACATATCTCACTAGCAAAGATACCTGTAGACAAAGGCTCAAATGATGAAGTACAGTCAAGCAAGCAAATAGAAATTGAAAGCAAGTTGGCATTGTTATTCTGCTATCTGACAAGGCAGAGTTAAATCAAAATCAGAAGAGATAAAGAAGGGCACTGCACATTAAGAAAGGCACAATTCATCAAGTTGATGTAGTCATATAAATATATATGCACCACCAACTTTATAAAACAAACATTAGTCGGCATAAAAGCCTACGGATGTCTCAAGATAATGCCTTGGAAGACTTCAGTGTCTTATTCTTGTCTTTAGATAAGTCATCCAAACTAAAAATCAACCGAGAAACTGCATCATAAGCCAATGGACTTAACTGCACAGTACCTACAAAAGTATCCCATTTAACTGCATAATACTTACAAAAGTATCCCACCTGACACAAACAGAATATATGTGCATCTCAGAAGCCCATGAATATTCTCTAAAATCAACTATATTCTAAACCACAAATCAAGTCTTATCCAATATACAACAATCAAAATAACTTCTTGTAATCTATTAGGATGCACTACAATAGAGCAAAAATCAATAAAGCAACTACAGAAACTACTCACATGTATGGGAACTGAAAACACATTTGTGTGTGACCAGTAGACTACTAAAAAAAAATCAAAAAGAATTTTTTATTATTTAGAAAAAATAAAAATGGAAAGGAAATGTATCAGAACATTTAGGGCATAGCTAAGAGAACTCTGTGAAGACAAACATTTTTAGTTGGTTTTCATTATGATCACTTACATTTTTAAAAAAATCAGAGTTCTCAGCTACATAACCTCATGATGGTCTCAGGGGTGTAAAAATGAGTTCAGCACAAAGCAAGAACAACAAAGGACAGAAATTAATGAAATGGAGTCTAAAAGAAACAATACACAGACTCAACCAAAAATTGTTTGAAAAGATGAACAAGACTGATAAACTACCTAAACAAAGCAACTCCAAATGAACAAGACCCAATTAATAAACTTAAAAAAAAAATAGGATGTTATATCAGATACCAATGAAATACAGGTTATTAGAGAATATTGTGAAAACTTATAATCCAAAGACTGTAGCATGAATTCTAATTGGTTTCATAATAACAACCTAGAATCAAATATAGGGGGTAAGGCTGAAGATCAGAGGAGCAGAGCCGTCAGCTACTAGAGAGTTATTTTACCTCTACCAATGCTCAGACTGAAGGGACAATCCTGTCCTCAGACTGCATCTTCAAACTGCATCTGTCTTCACCAACTCAGACTGCCCTGAGCTCCTGTCTCCTCCCACCCTATATTCCTCTCTGTGTCCAGCTATATCACTCCTGTCTCCACCTCCCTAGTACTGGGATTAAAGGCATGTGATCCAAAGTGCTGGGATGTTGTGTAGCCTGGAGTGGCCTTGAACTAACAGGGATCCCTCTGCCTCTGTCTCCCTAGTTCTGGGACTAAAGAAATGTGCGACCACTCCCTGGCCTCTAGTGGCTTAGCTCTGCACTCTGATCTTCAGGCAAGCTTTATTTGTTAAATCATAAAATATCCCTATAAGAGACTAGCAAATCTAGAATAAATGCATAAATTCCTAAGCACATACTAGCTACTAAAATCAAACCAAGAACTTAGACAGATTTGTAGCAACCAATGAGACTGAAGCAGTAATAAGAAGACTTCTAACAATGAAAAACTGGAAAGCTTCACACTGAATTCTATCAAATCTTTTTTTTTTTTTTTTTTTTTTTTTTTTTTTTTTTTTTTTTNGGAGCCTGTCCTGGAACTAGCTCTTGTAGACCAGGCTGGTCTCGAACTCACAGAGATCCGCCTGCCTCTGCCTCCCGAGTGCTGGGATTAAAGGCGTGCGCCACCACCGCCCGGCCCATATCAAATCTTTAAGGAAGATCTAAAATCAATATTACTCAAACTCTTCCACTGTCAAATTCATTCTTGAAACCAATATTGATTGCCCTTATACTAACATCAGGTAAGAACACAACAAAGAAAACTACAGATCAATTTCTCTGATAAACACAGACAAAAATCTTCAAGAAAATACATGCAAAGAAAATTGAATGACATTTGTAAGAAGATGGAAGGAACAAGAAATCATTATGTTAAGCAAAACAAGTCAGATTAAAAAATACAAGTATTGCATATTTTATCCTATATGCAGAATTTGTGTGTGTACATTCATGTATATGTGTGTGTGTGTGTGTGTGTTTATAATGAAAGCAAAATGGGACCATAAGAATAGACAAAGCAATGTTAAAGGAGGTGGGAGGCAAGAAAACAGAGTACTGGGATTTACGTGACATGTAAGCAGAAGCAGAGGCCATTTGTGGGGAGGAAGGGGACAACATAAGGGATGGATAAGAAGAGCAGGGGCTGAAAAAGATGAAGAAAAACAAAGTATAATGACAGATATGTATGGAAATGTCACAATAAAACTAACTTAAGATAGCTTAACAAATCATACTTGAGTCAAATTCACACAGTCACAGTTGTAAGAATATACTGAGTTATCTGGATGATATTTTGAAACATATTATGAAGTAACAGTGCATACATGGTAGATCAACTCTTCTGTGTATTTTCTTTTAAAATGTATATATCATCCTTATATTTCACATATCAACACTATAATGCAGAAATGTTCTGGTCACATTTCATCATCATCAGGTCTTAAAACTAAAAACCCCAAGACCTTGACAAACAGGTTGCACAGGTAAAACCTTGACATGCAAGGTGACCTGAACAGAAAAAGTAGAAAAAAACAAAAACAAAAGCCAAATAAAGCTCAGCTCCACTACAATGAAAGAGAAACTTTCCTGGCCACTTTCACAAAATCACAAATAGAGAAGCTGTGTTTCTGTCCTTGTTTACCTAACAACAACAACAACAACAACAACAAGATCCAGCAAACTTGAAACTCTAAGACTAAGGCATATGGTAACTTTTGGCTGGCGAATGGGATATAAGAAGATACATGATATATAAAAGAGTTTGGACAACTGATAAATGCCTCAACTATTGACCTTTGCTGGGCTAATCCTCAGCTATTAGCAAGAGAGAGAAACACATGGGCCAGAGAGGCAGGGCATCCTAGCTGTCTTAGTAGAGGTTGCTTTAGCTAAGTAAAACCCAGAAAACCCCAAGTGAATGAGCCCGCCCCACATTACCAGAAGCACCAGTTTACCTGCAGATGAGCAGGTGCCTGACTAGGCCCTTCAGACCAGCTGATCCCCTACACTGCCTCAGCTAAACACGTTTAGATTTGTGCCACCAGGGCACTGTATTTTTAAGCAGCATCATAAAATCATTGAAAATGGATTTATTCATAAATATTCACTCTCTTTGGAAAGATTTATTTTACTAGAGAAGCTTGTACAAAGGCCCTAGTTTCAATCCCAGCATGAGACCCATGCCCAAGCAAACAACTTTTAACAAATACAACCAATATATCACAAATTATAGGCAGATCATCACCTTTTCAAAGCAGACTGGTAATCACATCTAAATTCTGAGTAAACTGAAAATGTACACTAAATACTTCATAAATTAACCCTTGACCTACTACTACCAGTTATCATCGTGCCTCGGCCTCCTAAGTGTCCATTTATAGGCTACACTCTTCAACCACCTTAGCGTCTGTAACACACCAGCTACTCCTTTCTACACAAACTTCACACACACGCACGCACGCACACACACACACCATTTCATTAAACATTTCATTAAATATTTCAGTCTATAAGAGAACAAGTCTCTAACTGTATTAGCAAACTGGGACTGTTTCAAGGTTGTCCTCACAAGTATCTGTCAACTGAACTGAATGTGGTAAATGACACAGCAGAAGAACCTTCCGGTTGAACACCCTTTGTTTCCTAGGTTACCTTCAGGAGCCATGGTAACTATCTGAGAGGAGCCTGCCATGACGACATCCTCACCTGGTCCCGCATCAAGGCTGCAATATGTGTAGTTTTGCCCCCAGGTGCTGCACACAAATCTAGAATCTTCTCTCCAGGTTGAGGATTCAGAACATGAGCTACAACAGCAGATGGCAAATTCTATAAGGAAATAAAAAAAAGAGAGAGAAAAATGGAGTCTTGACAATGTAGCATCTCAACTCAATGAACAAACAAAACCTAACGTTTGCATTTACTTTGGAAGAAATGAAGGGCATAGATTTGGAAGATAATGGTTCTTCCAGAGAAAGACAAGGACAGAAGCATCAAGAGGCAGGAAGACCACAGATTCCCTAAAGCTTTCCCCACCTGCTCTCTGCAGTGACTTCAGTAATCACAAGAACCGGAAGGGTTAGCTTCTGCCAAACTCTATGCATATCCCATGTGATTTCAAGACATAACTAACTGCTTTAGTTGTCATGCCCCGGCTCCTTCAGAAGTTAGTTACTGAAGATCAGCCAGGAAACTGGACCACAGCTGCTGAGGTGGTTCAGTAGGTAAAGATATTTGCTGTCAAGCCTGACAATTTGATTTTGATCCCCAGGACCTACATTATGGAGGGAAATAGCTAACTACTACAAGTTGTCCTCTGAATTACACACACATGCTGACATATGTGCACACATGCATGTGCACACGTGCGAGTATGTGCACACACACATTTAGTAAAAAAGAACAATATCCATTTTCTTAAGTTATAATAAGCCAATGCAGGCTTGAGAAAATAGATGTGTAGCGCCCAATTTAATATCAAACTTTAAAAACAAACAACTTCTGGCTTGTGTAGCATGATTAATAAAAACCCAGAGACAGAAATTGGGGTTCAACCTCAAGGTCAGAGTAGCTAAACAGCCAGCCCACTGGCTCTGCCTCCACCTCTTCAGTCAGCCAGGCGGGCATGTAGCCCACTGCTGCTCTGAACGTCACTTCTTCAAGCCTCTGCTCCCTTATCTATGACTGTAGAGACTTTTAAGTGGTACATGAAGTAGTCAGTGAATTTGAAATACTGATGGAACACAGATAAATACTCAGTATACATTAAGTGCAATCATTATTACAATTTCTAGTCAGTTCCCCTGGTCAATCAATGACCAATGTAATATTGCAATATTACATGTAATAAAAGTTTCCACTAGGAAAATGACAAAAGTTAAACTCTATCCTCAAATACAAAAGCTTCAGTCCAGCAGTGGTCTAATTCTTTTGTTATGAAATGACAAACAATAGGTCTGTAGCGTATGGATATCAGGGATCACAAATTGTCTTGTGATTGATGTTTTTAAAGTCAGAAATCCAGGGGGCTGGAGATGTGGCTCAGCAGTTAAGAGTGTACTGTTCTTGCAGAGGAGCTGAGTTTGGTTTCCAACATTTCCATTAGGCAGCTCACAATCAGCCCCAAATCCAGCTGCAGGGGCTCTAACACCTTATTCTGGCCCCCAGGGATACCTGCACTTGGTGCATATACCCACATTGCAGACACACACCTATGTAAATTGAAAAAAATAATATAAAGTCCCAAATCAGGAAAGGTAGTTGAAGTTGGAATAACAGTAAGATATGTAAGAGAAGTTTGTACCACATGGACTTCTCCTTTCCAAAGTCTAAACTAAATTATGGTATGAGGAGGTATGGTCTTCTATCTTCAAAAATTAACACTTCTAGCCGGGCGGTGGTGGCGCTCGCCTTTAATCCCAGCACTCGGGAGGCAGAGGCAGGCGGATCTCTGTGAGTTCGAGACCAGCCTGGTCTACAAGAGCTAGTTCCAGGACAGGCTCCAAAACCACAGAGAAACCCAGTCTCGAAAAACCAAAAAAAAAAAATAAATAAATAAATTAACACTTCTTCTTTCATTGTTAGCAATGTGAAAGTGTGCAGAAAACACCCACAGTGAGTCAGGGGTGTGTTCGCAAATAGCCACAAGTGAAACCAAGCAAACAAAAGTACCCAAAGTGATTCACAAACAAGTAGGCAGAAGGCTCTGGGTTCTAATCCTTTGCATCATCCCTGAGGAGGCTAAGTAACAACAAACAAATCACTTTCTGTTCTTCCCAGATCTGTAAGGAGCTTTTGGCTTAATACTGGGAAGAGAAGAAAGCACAGAGCTCCTGGATTTGGGTTTAACTTCAGATGCTGCCAGTTATTAGCAGGGTGACTTGAGCAAGAACCCCAAAGATCTAGTCTTCAGTATTTCTATTTCATAGAATGATAATAGCATTAAAATGCGTTGATGTCTGTGAATGTTCTTAGGAAGTCAAAAGGGTAAAACAGCTCATTATATCACAGCACTTAATAACAACCTGACGAAAGCCTGCCAGCAACCAACCATCTGAATATTACAACCGAACCCACAGCCGCACAGCGAAGTGTGCAATGCTCAGGACTAAGCTTCCGAGATGAAAAGCAGTCATTATATCACATCATTAAATCACCTCTGGACAAGAGGACAGGTAAGTGTATAAAATTAATAGAGGAAAAGAAAACAAGAGTGCTCATAAGACTGTATTGATATTTGACAATGGTAGGTCAGAATATGAAGAGATTGCAATAATATTAAAAATAACTTCGAATAATTCATCTGAGTGATTCAATGTCACTCAATTTTATTTTACTCACCTGTAAGAATAAGTATCTGGGTAGAACATTGTCAAAGGAAGGGCTGAGATATATTGGTTCTGTCATCCTTATGCCTATACCTCTAGAAAAATAAGAAATTAACCATTAGTCTGTATAAGTTATATAGTTGTATTCCTAGGAACACTCACTGACACATCAAGTATAAACTGCTCTTCATTTTTAAGACTTCTTTTATTTAACAAATTATACTAGTCCTATGATTTGTTCTATATTTTATAGGAGAGGTAATCCAAATAATTAAAAAACAAATAGGTAAAGTTACATAACTATTTTAGTAAACACAAGAGTTACTTTAGAGAAGTCAATAAATTAAAAAGCAAACAAGACCTAATTCTTATTGCTTTGTTCTAATCTTCCTGGTAACACAAACACTTTGTGCATGACTGTGCTAGACAGTTATATGAGAACAGAGGAAAATGCCAAGACTCGGGCTGATGCTGAACACTGACAAAGGCAGGACCCGCTCTGCTCCCGTCTTTTTATAGAAAAGCTGCCCAGTACACTCAGCATACGCAGTACTGACAGTCCTCACACGACCTTCTCTACCCTGTCCCATTTTACTAGTGGCAGTGGAGCTTCTGGGAACAGGAAGGGCTGGGACACAGAATGGCACAGTGCACAGTGACTCATAAAGACAAACACTGCACCTGAGAGGTGCTCCATAACTACCAAAGTGGCAGCGTGCTCACAAGTACGGGCGGAGAAAACCAACAGGCTTTTGAAGAATGGCTACCTTTTACTCCCACCAGACAAGCAAACATGGTTCAGCACATCACTAGGAACACTGCACCAAATGAGAGCACGAGGGGCGCTCTAGTAATAATCAACTAAAGGGGGCAGTCAAAGCTATCAGCTTCCTACAGAACGTTCTACGGAGAGTAAAACCAGGTTCTAGTCACTTGGAAAGCTTTTCTTTCTTAGACCTTGGGAGCCTAATCATCTGTTGCTTTAGGAGAACCGATTTCATTCATATAGGAAAACTGCTCCAGTGTGACACACGGTCCAGGAATGAGGGCTCTGGCCCCATTCTAAACGGCTCAACTCACAGTGCTGTAGCATCTGTGTGCCCGTTGCCAACTTTGGAGCAATGGCATTCTACAGCACTCCTAAATCAAGCTCAAGAAACCATGCTAAGCGGGGCCTCGTTTGTTCATGGCTTTAATCTACTTAGGCAGCCAACATTCAGATATGATTTAGAACTAATTATATTTCACTGTGGCTTGAACGAATTGAAACATTTAGTTTTGACCATAAATATTCAAAGTGGTACAATTCAAGTCTAATTTACTTTGTTTAAAATATTTTTTATATTTGATTTACATTAAAATTACACTATTCTTTGATAAAATGAGAATGTTTGAAAAAGATAAGTCATTTAATTCTCCATTAAGAAAAGTGTTGTTCTTCAAAGTTTAAACAATTAAAATCTAAAAGGACAAAGAAAATTCCCAGTCAGTGTTATCAGTCGCTCACCTGGGCTTTTTGTTTAGGTTTGCACTGCTGAGGACTGAACTAGGGCTGCAGGCAGAGTGGCAATGCACCAAATCACTATTGCTTTGGTTTTTAATCTACTTACCCTTTTTGACAAAAAAAAAAAAAAAAAAAAAAAAAAAAAAAAAGCTCTTTCTAAAAATCCCTGAACTTTGGACTCATTTTTTCCAGTTGAAGTAATTTAAAGATTTATGTAGTGTAACAAAATAGACCTTTTCAGTCTTTTGAGCTTTATGAACCACAGAAAGGGTGCTGTTTCCCCCCCAGAGCTCGGTGACGTACTTCAGATCGCGTATCCCATTGAAGATATCTTTACGGCTTAGTTCCGAAATCCCATTTCCAAGAAATACTTTAGTTCCATCAAATTCTTTGGCTCCTTTCTTACATTTCCCTTCAATATCAGAATATACGGAAATAACATCTCCAGCTTTCATAACTAGGTTAAAGGAAAAAATCAGACTGTTAATCTATGCTTTGGCAGACAAGTGAAAATCTTTCAAGCTAAAATGGTTATCTGGACATCAATTATGAACAAAAAATAATCTGAACTGGCTCATCTCTGCATAATCCTCAATAGCAACTCAACTCTTAGTTTTTACATATCCCCTAACATCTAAATGAACAGGTGGTTTTCACTAAAAACACAGAAATGGTACTCAATACATCCTACCTACATCTTCAACTAAGCAGGACGGGTCATCTATGTGACTTATTTCCCAGAAGCTAATACTCAGCAGAGTTGCTCATAAGCCTTAGCATCTACAAAAGAACCCCACAAACACTTACACTAAAAAAGAAACCAGGCCGTGCAAGCAATCACTTTCCAGATCACCATACGCAGGATGGGTGAGGCTCAGGAACTGAACACATCTGTAATAAATCTAAACCAGCGCTTCCTGATCCAAGCCCAGTGAGGCCCAGGGAAGCAGCGTAGTACCTGCAGTTCAGAGTGAACCCAGGAAGAATGCCAAGCTCGTCCCACTGTCTAGGATTCTGGATGTCACCTTCACAAATCTCCTGAGACCAGCTAGAGGTTTTAAGGCAGTGAAGTGGGAAATACAAAATGGAACGTCACTACCTTTTTTAAAACAATGTCTGTGCGCACACACACACACCCATGCTTGTGCTGTGTACGAGGGTACCTGCAGATGCTAGAGTTACAGGCAGTGGTGAGCACTGACAGAGTGGAAAGGGGACTCTGGTCCTTTGTAAGAGCAACAAGCCCTGTTAACTACGACTATTCAGTCTCCTTCACTACCATCTGACATCCTTTGTTTGTGTGGTGATAAAGATATCACCACAACAGTTTTTATGTGGGAAGCCGAACAGTGACAGAAAGCTTCATATGGGGGCCTAATTGTCTTAAGTTCTGCTTCCTACTGCTGTGTCAAAAGCCACTGAAGGTCAATGTGGCTCATGGTTCCAGGTTCCAGTCCATCACTGTGGGGACATCAAGGCAGCAAGAACTTGAAACTGTTGTGGTCACATCACATCCAGTCCAGAGCAGAGAGCACTTAATAAATGCACACGTGCTTGCATTCAGCTTGCTTTCTCCACCTAGACAATCCAGGATCCTGTTTCCTAAGGAATTCTGCCAATATCGGGCAAACTTTCCCACCCCAATGACATGGCAATCCACCTCAGATATGCCCACAATCCAAGAGATCTAGACAATACCCCAATGAGTCCCTTCCCAAGCGACTCTTCATTGTGTCAAGTAAACAACTCAATCTCACCACCACACTTAGTTCTATAGGATAAAATCCTTTACCAAAAATGTTGGGAAATACATAACAAATGTTAATTTAAATATGTAAGCTTCTAACTGAGCTCACTCATGAATTAGAGGGTGCCCTAAATCTTATACCCACATTTTGAAGCTGACACGATTCCTGGGACGTAGACATGGGCCCCTCTCAATACTGCATTGCCGCATTGCGCTCCAACAATCACTTCACACTGCTGTTGCTCTATATTCCTTCTAGGGACATTTAAAAACAAAGACAAAAATAATGAATAATGTTCTTCTAGGTCCATAAGCTTTTTAAATATCTCATAAGAGATAGTAGTGATGAGTATGATCAATACACACAGGATAAATATCTAAAACTTTAAAGAAATAAATTATTATTTAAAAAGACTTCATATAAGTAGCCTATTAAGTCTTGATTTTCCTGAATACATAACAAAAAAATGCTGAAAAAGAAAGATTCATAGAAAGCAGCAGTTTCATAAAGGAGGAAAGAAAAGGAAAAAAAGAATGGGCACTTTAAGACAAAAAAAAAAGGGACAGGAGAGATGATCTGGCAGGTAAGATAGCTGCTGCAGAGGCTGGTCCTAAAGTCAGTACTCCTGGGTCCATGTGGTATGGGACATCTGATTTCTGCAAGTTGTCCTTTAATACACACAGAGAATTAAAGAAAAGAAAGAAAAAATACGATAAAGAAAAGAAAAAGAGGGCCCTCTGGTGGAAAGAAGGCAGCAGCCAGAGAAGTTGTTTGGTCATTCAATAAGCAATACTGTTTTCATAGTAGCATTAGGAGTTAAACAGATTTTTCTACTTTCCTTTCCTTTAATCCCAGCATTCGGGAGGAAGAGGCAGAAGCAGACGGATTTCTGTGAGTTTGACGTCTACAGAGGGATTCCAGGGCAGTCAGGGCTACACAGAGAAACCCTGTCTCGAAAAACCAGGGGAAAAAGAATTGTAAAGTGGTATATTGTTGCATGGTAAATTATGAGTATTTAAAGCTAAACAGAAGAGAAAAATAAATCACATCTTTCCTTCCTTTGCTGCTCAGCCTTAAGTTCTCCACTTTCTCACATCAAGATCATTTTTTTTCTCACACTACTAAATTCCTGGCATCGTTCCTAAGGGAAGCTCTTCAGAGACCAAGAAGGTGCTGGCCTGACCAGGGAGTCAGCAGTTCTGAGCACCACATTCCCGATGAACTTCTCTGGCGGGCAGACCTGCCATGTGCTGTCACCACTCTCTGGGGAATGAACTCTTTCCCTCCTTTCCCCGGAGCTATCTCACAGCACCCGCCAATGTCACAGTTTCCTGGCCCCATGCATCCACACTCTGAGCCTGCTTCTTAAAGAGGCCATTCCTCTACCTACACAACATGCCACCAGGTATCACTCACCTGATGTGCTGACCACAGGCAATCTTAACCACAGTTACTCACAGTGCTATGAGACGTATAGGCCCAACAAATCGGGAAGCTGATCAGGAAGGTAACTTGGACCTTGTTAAAAGAGCAGCTGAACAGCGCAATGAAACCAGTCACCAAAAACCAAAGAGCAACGTCAAAATATCCTTAGCATTTCATCCCTCAAGATTTAGAACTGGTATTTCTACTGTTGTTGAATAACTACACCTAGAAGAACCACAGCTGCTCCAAACTCAACAAATACCAAGCAGTATTTATTATTGCCTATATACACCTTGAATTCTTAGTATGAAAGCAGGACTTTCCATGCTGTCTTGAAAGAAATACACCTAGATAACAACACCAGAAGGCTCAGAGCTATGGTCTACAGATGTCTGCCTAAGTTCATATGTTATAAACTGTAATTCTACGTGTAGGATCTCTGCCTTCATGAATGCATGGAGGCTGCTCTAGGGTTTGCAGAAATGGGCTCCCTTTTACTTGAGGATACAGAAGGAAATCCAGGTATCAGCACCTTAATCTTAGAATTGGCAGCTTCTAGAACTGTGGGAAGCAAACTGGAATTCCTTATTACTTGGTGTCTAGTATTTGCTACTGCAGCAATAACACAGATTAAAACATTCTGCACAATCCTAACCCCTTTGCAAGGTGAGAGTCTTGCTGTGTCTATCTGATAGTTCTCCTAAGACCATCACTCAAATAATTTCCCATCTTCTGCCTTTGTTTGCTTCATCTATTCTTTACAGCATTACAACATGGGTATTGGTTTCTGTCTTGGTTAGGGTTTCTATTGCAGTGAAGAAACACCATGACCATGATACACCTCCACAGTCATATACTTCCTTGAACAAGACCACACCTACTCCAACAAGGCCACACCTCCTAATAGTGCCACTCCCTACATGCCTATGGGGGAGATTACATTCAAAATTCCACAGTTTCATTTTGAAGTGTCAAGAAACAGAATTTTTGGGGAGGTTTTCAGTTTTCTGTTTATTTTGTTTTGCTTTGTTTATTTTTTTCATTTGGTGCTTCAGGCTTGTACTTCCTAACTGCAGAGAGTTCCTAGTCCTCACAGTTTCTTACTACTGTCTTTTACCAATTATTTCTATTCTTTGCATCTAGAACCCAGGCTGCCTTTTCTTTCTGTTCTCAATTTGCTTTCTTATTTCTCAGTTCTTTGTCTCTGCGGATTATAGTTAATTTCCTCAGAGTCATCACCTAGTTCAGTAATTTTTTTTTCTCTTGGTTTCTCAAGACAGATAAATTTGAAGGCAGGGTCTAAATTTAACTTATGAAACAAGTGCTTAATTTCAATATAACTTGATTTCTATATCAACTTGATTTTCTTCTTAGGTCTTTGATGCTTGAGAAAGCCATTATGTGTCTACCAGGTAGCTCTAATTTGTTTAGAGGAATTCCCCTGTCATTTACTGCACCCATTTACTGTTTTCTCAGGGTGGGTTGGTTCCTAATACAATGTGAAAAGTATGTGACATGGATTCAAACCATGCAAAGACAGAACAGTTGGGATGATTTCCACCGTACCTCTCAACAACTGACCTAAAATCAAATGTGGCAATTTCCCAGACTGAAGGTTCCAAGTAGTAAGTTATGTGCAGAAGTAAGAATGCAAACTCGAACACTCCGGAAGACCTGCAACCATTCTGCATTCTCGGCAGGGTTTTTCCTCAAATCTGGATCTTACAATGAGAGACTCTCTTCCTAATTGCTACCTTAGGCTGACTGCTGAACAGTCTTTATTGCCAGCATTAACCCACTGCTAAAACCAAAGACCACACATTTGGAAAACCAGCCATCAGACTCCTTTCCCAGAGCCCAGACCCCTAACATTAGCTCCCATTCTTCTAGCTCTTCCTGTTTATCCTTACTAACTCCACACTCTCGCTCATGTTCTTCACTGGCTTTGCATTTTAGAACGCACTTTGCTTGTAGGCATGCGCTTGCACATTCTCTCTCCCTCCCTCCCTCCCTCCCTCNCCCTCTCTCTCTCTCTCTCTCTCTCTCTCTCTCTCTCTCTCTCTCTCTCTCTCCAGCATTCCCAAGAGTGTACAGCAGAACCATTTCCAAATTATCAAGTTACTATATCACTGGCACTAAAAGACTGTAATAACATCCTAGATGGTCTACAACTTTACAGTTCGTCTTCTTGAGAAAAGAATTTCCTGCGATTTTAGTTGTACCCTGACCTAAAAAATGCAGTGAATGCTAAATATATAGACATGCATTCATATTTATAATAAGCTTCATAAACTCCTTTACTATGAGAATAACAGTGTGATTAAATGTACCATTTATTTTTTTCAACATTTTTTTTTAAATTGGATTGACATTTTGCCATGGATGTTCAGTCCCCTGGAACAGGAGTTACAGACAGTTGTGAGCTGCCACGTGGGTGCTGGGAATTGAACCTAGGTCTTCTAGAAGAGGAGCCAGTGCTCTTAACCCCTGAGCCATCTCTCCAACCCACCCATTTAATATTTGCTTATAATAAAAACATGGAACTTATTTCATGATGTGCTACTTCACGAGTAACTTCGGCTAGTGCTGTTTCTAGGCTGCAGCTTTAGTCCCTACCCTCATTCTGTCTTTGGCTGCTGTTCTCTCAGTAGAAACAAAACAATACTCCGCAGTTCACAGCCTGCCTCTTTCAACTTCTTTGATTTCACTTGCCCTTCAGAAAATCAATTTAGTAGTCAAATGCGGTCACTTCCATCAAGGCTCACCACATATTTCATGCCTTTGCACCCCTGCTTTTATTCTCTCCTTATCGAGCAAGGCCTTGCCCTCTTTATCTCTGCCATTACTAATTACTAATCATCTTTAAGTAGCTGAAATAGAGCAGATGCCAGTCCCTGTGATCTCAGACCTCCCTACGCTATCTCTAATGGCACTTCCCCTCTACTTCTAAGTGGAAAGCCTACAGATGACTTGCTCCAACACCCCAGACTGAAGACTCAACAGTTGATGTTCATCAGTGTAACACCCACATGCCCTGCATACAGCCCAGCCCTGATGGAGGAGGGTCATCTGTCTATGTGTTACTTTCATTGGTTAATAAAGAAACTGCCTTGGCTCTTTGATAGGACAGAAAATTAGGTAGGCGGAGTAAACAGAACAGAATGCTGGGAGGAAGAAGGCAGTGAGGCAGTCGCCATGCCTCTCCTCTCTGAGATGGACGCAGGTTAAAATCTGTCCTGGTAAGCCACCACCTTGTGGTGCTACACAGATTACTAAATATGGGTTAAAGCAAGATGTGAGAATTAGCCAATAAGAGGCTGAAACTAATGGGCCAGACAGTGTTTAAATGAATACAGTTTCTGTATAATTATTCTGGGGCTAAGCTAGCCATGTGGGAGCAGGATTGGACAAAAAGCAGGCCTGCCCGCAGCTCCTACTACACATCCCAGAGCCTCTCAGGAAATGAGATCCTTCTCAAGTGTTACCATGAAAGTTAAGGAGAGAGCAGCACGAAGGCTGCGTGGATAGAAGTACTCAATCCCCAGAACCCACTCCTGCAAGCTCTCCTGTGACTTCCACACTCGAGCCCCCCCACACACTAAAAAATTAAAGAAAGGAGAGACATGCAGAAAGAATTTTTACAACATGGAACCTGTGCCTACGTTGTACCTAAGGAGTAATCTTAATAGCCGAAAGGCAGATTAATAGGGGGCAAAAAGGGGAACTGCTCCAAATATGTCTCTGCATCTTCAAATAGATCCTTAAAAAACTCAAAAAAGGTAGAAAATAGATACATGGCACCAAGGACAAAGGCTGAGGTTCAGCACCTGCCTAACGTGTGAGGCCTGGTTTTGACATTCAGAACACCGCATCAGTCCCAGCACCCACAGGGCAGCTTCCACCTGTCTATAACTCCAGCTCTAGCGGATCTGATGCCCTCCTCTGGTCTTTGCAGGCACTGGGCATGTGCATGACATCATAGACACAAGCCGACAAAAAACTTGTACACATAAAATAAAAATAAATAAATCCTTTTTAAAAGGAAATATAACTAAACAAATGAAACTTCTTCATCACTGCACTGAACAGCCATAAGAAGGCCCTTGGCCCAGTCCTCATCTTTCTGCAGAGTTCTGCCTCATCATGGCAGAGCATGAAGCATGCAATTACAAATTGGTGACTTCCATTTCTAGGGAGTTTTTGGAAGGTAGATAATACTGTCGACAAGCAAAAGGGAAAAGGAAACAGTCACCAACCTCGGTCCAGTCACAGGGATGAGTAAGATGTCTGGGAGGGCTGGATGCTGAAGAACAGGAATGCTGAATCCACTGAATTGCTGTTAGAAACAAGCACACACAATGATAGAGCACCCAGATCTCACAGGCTTCACCGAGTCACCAAGAACACAGCGACAAAAACCCCGGTGCAATTGGTAAATTGCACAAGTTTCACTGTGGCACCAAGTTCCACCACAGGAAACCTGATTTGGGCCTATTCCACGCTACTTCATGGAATGCTTAATTAATTCCTGACTTCAGAGGGAAAGCGTGCTGGGGGCCAAACATACATGCTGAACCGCTGAGCTGTACCCTGAGCCTGTTTCTAATTTTTAATTTTGAGTTAGGATCTCCCTACATTGTCCACACTTGCCTCAAGCTTTCAATCCTCCTGTCTCAGATTTTGTAGGAGCTGAAGCTACAGGCACTGGCCACCACACCCAGTTCTGATTTCTTTACAGGAATCAATTTTGCTTACTGTTCAATTTTAAAAACACAAACCATGTTTAAGTGATTTACTCAAAAAAACCCATATATTCTATTCATAATCACATGCAGGTACCATGTTTTAAGCTATGTATAGTGGTACACATCTGTAATTCTAGCACTGGGGATGAGGAGAAAGAAAGATCATGAATATAGGAAAACCTGAACTACCCACTAAGTTACAGGTAAGCTTGGATACATAATCAAATCCTAGCTCATATACACACAGAGAGAGTCATTCTAAAAGTTTCAAAATAGGACATTAGAGATTAAAATTACTAAATATGACATATACCATGAACATTGGAGGCCATGTCATTTTTTTTTATATCAAAGTGTACGTTTTAAGCCAGGCGGTGGTGGTGCACGCCTTTAATCCTAGCACTTGGGAGGCAGAGGCAGGCGGATCTCTGTGAGTTCGAGACCAGCCTGGTCTACAAGAGCTAGTTCCAGGACAGGCTCCAAAACCACAGAGAAACCTTGTCTCGAAAAACCAAAAAAAAAAAAAAAAATTGTACGTTTTAGACGTTCAGGATTTTGAAAATCTATTATACTTAGCTGGTTAGTCTGGAAACACATTCAAAGGCTGAAGCTGTAAGTTACTAGCACAACTTACATGACTCACTGTGGGCATCTCTTTCCAATTTAATGGATATGCTAGAAGTTTGAGATCAACTTTGGTGCCAGTATTTATGCCGTGTAAACTTATCAAACACCATTTGTCAGGGTAGTTTTTCTCTGAAGATGTGTTGGTGAATATGAGCCATTGTATTGCTACTGCAGGCTGAATGAGAGAGGGCAGCCTCAGAGCAGCGTGGTAAAGAACAGACACCAGATCAGAGAACAGGAACTACATGTGTTCTATGGGGAAAAAAAATCACAAATATTTGATAAAAGTTTATGCATGAGGCTTGGATTTACATATCTATTAACTTTCCCACACTACCTGAAAGAATACTAACATTCATTGCATCATGCTGCAGAATCTATACTGTCCCCCAAAACAGCATCGCCTGACAGATGCTCCAGGGAGATGACGAGGTTAAAAGGAAAGAAGAGGTTGGTGGATAATGCAGTTGAGAAAGTGTTTACCATGCAAGCATAAGAACCTCACTTTGGTCCCGAGAACCTATGCTGGAGTCGAATAAAAAACCAAGTGTGACGGCACACATTTGTAATCCCAGCTCTGGGAAGTGGTGAGCTCTAGGTAAGGTGGATGGCACCTGGGAAACAATGCTCTAAGGCTGACCTCTAACCTTCACAGACACGCACTTGTGCACTTAGCCCCACAAAACAAGCATACATGTACACACAAGCACACACACAAAGTAGATAACTGACTCAATGTCAGTGGCGTCTAGCACACTAATATCCCAATCCCTGCGTCCACTTGACACTCATAACAGCCTGTGATACACAGCTGGATCTGTAATCGTGTTTGTCTCTTGGTTTTAATTTATATGAAAATTAGATAGAACTGGATCTGCTAACACCTGTCTGTTATTTGTCATCAAATATTTTATAACTCAATATGCAATTCATAAGTAAATCCCTCCATGGTCAATTTCCCCCCAACCTTATGTTTCTTTGGAGACAAATTACAGAGTACAATGTCATAAGACAAAATACAAAGCTCTTGAAAACAGAGAGGGAACAATATAAGCAATATGATCCCAACATAAGCACCATAATCAATACTACTTTTCTGCTTAGTCATAAAATGCCACTTTACAACACTGTTTTCACTGAGAACATGAGCAATACTGATAAAAACCTATTGGTTAACAATTTTAAAACCATAATCTTCATATTCTCCTAATTTAGTTATTTTATAACAAGACACATATGTTTAATTCAATTAACTGCAATTAAAAGTAAAATCCTGAGGTGATGATCTGCAAGTGTGACTGCACGATGCAGCATCTGTGAAGTCACCACGTGGGCTGGGACTCTGCAGACGCAGTTAGCTAATAGGGTCACCCACTTTCCTACAAGGACCGTTCACCCATGCTCTAAGCATATGCCCAAACACCTCATTGGTTCACCCAAAAATTATTTTAAAAACACAAATACTTTGACAATTATTTAGCAGGTATCCTCATATGTCTAAACTTATAGCACAAACCCTCCTAATCATTATATGCTGCTCATTATGGGATTAGGTTTACAGATCAGAATAAAGCTCTTCATCTGCTCCAGAGAGTCCTCTTCTGATGCCTCCCCTTGTCATTCACACCTTAGAAGTGCATCACTATTTATTGTTTGTGGAACAGTGAATTAGAAGTCATCTGATTTTCTCTTACCCTTGTGACTCCCATTAAGATGTTAGCAAACCCTATTTCTTGCTCTACTTTGAACTTAAAATAAAAATTTTGATCACTTCTTGAAGAAAAAAAAAAAAGAATAAAGTTCTTCATATATTTTAATGATAAATCCCACCATAGGGCTCAGAGACTTATCCTAAGTACTAATAAACTTAGTATCAGAAGTTCTAGGCCTGTTCTAATCTCACCTCTTACAACCTTAAAACAATTTATTATCCATAACTTAATTTTCTTATTTATAAAATTTGAATATTCTCAAACATTTAAGTATCTTTATTCAGTAGGGTTCTATTTGAGTATAAGTCTATTATGAAGTATAATTATAGCATATATTTACATGTACCATTAAAATGCTGTCAACATATCATAGATGTATATGATTTAATTGACATTAATGGCATGTAAAAGGTAATATTTCTATGTTGAAAATATATTCTTTATTCCATTAATTCTTCCACTATGTATGTTTAAAAATTATCAGGGTAACAAACTCTAGATATTCTGAAGTTTAAAAAAATGGGAGTATCATATTGTTCAAGGGCTGTCGATGGAGCAGACTGTGGCAGAGTACAGAGGAGTAACTGCACAACCATCACACGTGCACAGACCTTCTGAAGCTCCTCCAGCAGCAGACCTCTGACGTACTCAACTGATGCCAAATGTGTATTCACCCTGACGGTTGTGAATGACGGCGGGTGTGACAAGTGAATCAGCAGACTTTCAAATTTCCGTTCTGCTTCTTGTTTGCTTGAAGCAGACACAACCTGAAACGGAAAGAACCATGATTTCAATTTCAACTCATACCTTTTGGGCACAAACTTGCTGAAAATGATGCTAAATGCCCCTTCCTCTCTTAACACACACTCTCTAAGGCCCCTTGAGCTAAACATGCAATATTGTCTCTTCCCATATAGTCTAGCCTCTTAGCACAATTGGAAATAAGACATAGAAATCAGTTTTAAAATCTCAGCTCCAATAACATTCAAAAATAAAAACCATATAAGATTTAGTTTTGCAAGAAACCAACAATCTAGGAAAAAAAAATCAAAATTCCCCAGGGGTGGCAGGTTAGGGTGATCAGAACATGTAAGAACCTTCCATTAGAAGGCAATCAGCACTCACTGGGAATTTCTGTGTTAAGTGCAGCCAGTAAGAACACTGTCTTTGAAAACTTGCCTGCCTAATCAACATAGTTGCTTTCACTTAAGTTTGATGCCCAAGACAACCTTTGAAAGTGCTTTGAACCTATATGATTTTCACAGAATAAATTAAACTTTAACAGTGATAATTAATTCAAAATAATTCATACAAAAATAATGCTTTCCAGCAAGATATGATTGGGCACGTCAGTATTCCCAGCACTGGGGAGGCAGAGTCACACAGATCTTGGTGGGTTTGCGGTCAGCATGGTATAAGATGTGAGTTACAGGACAGACAGAGCTATATGTGAAGAACCCTATCTCAGTAAGTAAAATAAATGAAAAAAGAAAAAAAGAAAACAAGCTTTTGAAATGTAAATCTTTTTTCTTTCATTACATCTGAGCTTTAGTTGTTTGACAGTTGTGTCAGTTTGAAGGAGTAACAGGATTTCTTGGATTCTGATCTCAGTTCTTAAAAATAACACCAAATCACTCTACAAAGATTGCTTAGGCTAAAATGTAAAGGCACTCGTGTGTGTCTTTTCAACTGAGTACAAGAGCATGTGCTTTAAAAGAACGAGTCCATCCTCTACATACAACCTAGGGTTTGTGGACAGAGAACTTTTCCTGTTGATTTTCCTATCCCTTCAGTACTAAGTGTACTGGTAGGCACATAACACTTGTTTTCTTACATCGAAGTGTGAGCACATATATTCACCTTATCTCATCAATGCCTACAAAAAAAAATGATTTTGGAAATTCCAACAGTCTAGTGTCAAAAACCAAAGCTGTAAAGATTACCTTTAGTCTTCCTTCTGCTGCTCTAGAAATTGCACTTGAATTGGTGCAAATGTCTATTTATATGACCTACCTCTTTGTTCATAAAGCTCTCTCTGAGATAGTTTTCAACCTCAGGCCTCAAAGATATCTTAGGAAAAATAGGCATTTCTTTTTTCTGTTTTAAGTCATCCAAGAAAATTGTTGGGAAACTTTTTTTCTTTTCTTTTTTCTTTCTTTCAGAATTACAGCGAAGTCTTGCCAGCCAGTAGCCGAGCAGAGTGCGTTTAGTGAGTCCAGGAGTGGGCAGGGTCCAGGATTTGGCGTTCTCTGGGAGGCTGTGAGAAAGCTCCGAACGCCACTGAAACGCTTCTCCAAAATCGGCTTAGTGACAAATAAAAGTACCTAGACGCAAATCGGAAACCGGATAGCATCAACTTCCATGCTGACATCCATTTTCCAAAACCGCGCCCCCGACGCCGGTGCGGAAAGTCGCTTCCTGGGTTCGTCACTTCCGGCGCCTGCCGCCTGCTTTTCTGTGCACGCACAGTCTGCAACTGCCAATCACCTCCAGTCCTGACCCCTGAGGGTGGTGCTTCTTCTTGCGTGGAACGCCCTTTGCCTGGTTCACCAAGGGCTCCTGGCCTGGTTTGTGCAGAGTACTATGTTGCTCTGAGGGAGGTTTCCAGTTAGTTTCCCCGGTACAAGTGGCGCTAATGACCTCAATTTATTTGGCCTTGGATTTCATGAAATAATTTCCCTCCCTCGGACACATGAATCTGACATCAGCTGTGAATCAACAAAACCCTCTCTTAAAAAAAAAAAGAAAGAAAAGATATATGTGTATTAATGTTTTTCCTGCGTGCAAGTACGTGCACCACGAGCTTGCCTATTGTCTCCCCTGGAACTGAAGTTACAATAGCTGTGAGCCATCATTTGGGTGCTGGCAATGGAAACAGGATCCTGTGCAAGAACAGGTGTTCTTTGCTGTTAAGCCATCTCTCCAGCCCTAATATCCATTTTTTTTTAACTGTGCTAATACGTGTGTGTACTCAAGTAAAGCTAAAAAGCTCAATAGTGTTTACAATTAGTCATAAGGCTAATAGTTAGCATACTTTAGAGCCTTGATGTGACTTTGCTGAGGTTAAAAGGATTTTAAAAAGTAACCAGTCACGGGGCTGTTTTATACTTGAACATGACAAACAGTTTCGTCTCTGCTGCCGAGTGGAGTTTTTTGTTTTGTTTTGTGCTTTTTGTTGTTTGGGGCAGTATCTCATAGATAACTGTAAAAACGGGATTTTTTTTCCCCTCCCTTAGCTCTTTTAAGTTTTCACATTGGCTTTAAAAATATATTTCTGCTCCTTACTATGGCACGTGAAAATATTGTAAAAATGGCATTCTGCCACAGCTCTGCAAAAAAAATGTTTATAAACAGTTTTTCAATGAGTAAATGGGCTCCAAGGGCTGAAATAACTTTCCATGATCTCATAAATAGGAAAGGAAGAAAGGAAGGAAGGAAGGAAGGGAGGGAGGGAGGGAGGGAGGGAGGGAGGGAGGAAGGAAGGAAGGAAGGAAGGAAGGAAGGAAGGAAGGAGCTTAGAACCAGGAAGTTGTTTTTAAAAACCAATACCCAGTCTTTCCACAGTATCATGTATCTTCAATGAATTCATGGGGTTCTTTCTTGACCAAACCATCTGAAATCAGTAAAGAAAATGTCTGAGACACAGGTTGAAAATGTTGCATGACTTTCCTGAGAAGACAGAGCATCTATTCACCCCAAATAAGAGTGAAGTGGGTAAGTGTGTGCTCTCCCCGTGCTGGTACCAGCCATCCTGCTAGTCTCTGGAGACACTGCCCAGCCTGGGCAGGGTGGCCTGTTCAGGGCAATCTGGCAGGTAGAGCAGGTCAGTGGCATCTTACTGCAGCAATGGATGCCTTGGCTAGGATTCAGAAGACAAGCCAACCCTACAAAGGAATTTGGACAGGCAGTTTTACCGTGACTCTGACACAAGATGCAGTAAAAATGTTTAGGAAATAAGGGAAACCTGAACTTGATTATAGACTTCACGAGGGAGAAACTTCATTTCCACATAGTGTACTCATTGTCTGATGTAAAAAGGGCACTCCCTGAATGACTAACCGAACAGACAAAGTAGAAACAGAAATTGCTGCTAAATATATATTTGATATAAAGTAGTTCACTACTTCAGAACACTTGACTAGTGACCAGACATTTATATTAGCCCTGACTAGGTGTGACTGTAATGGGAGTTAAGTGGATGAGTGGGTGTGCTGATGTACAACTGGAACCAAGAAAACACCATAAATGTGCAGTTGGTAGAGTGAGCTGGTACTGTCTAAGCTAAGGAAGACTCCAACAGGAATACAGGCATGAGAAGCCACTGAAGCTACACTTTCTTTATAGAGATAGGATGGCCCCAAGCAGGGACTGATGGGGGGAATAAGCCTCAGATCTAATCTCACCATTTTAAGCTTGTTCATGACACTCCAAAGTTGAACTTCACATGAAAAGTTTAATCCTTATTTAATTTTATGAGAAGTGGGGTCACAGGGAGAAACAGGATGGGGTGGGGATTCTAGAAAGAGCTACCAACAGGGGTGATCCTCTTAAGTGGTGACAAAATGATTTCAAAGTAGCTTCTTCACTCTTCATGCAAAAAAAGGGTAAGCAATTTCTGTCTAGTTTTCTCATTTTATATTTTATCATATTCACCTTCTACATTTCTTCTACAGCAACCTGGCCTCATTTCATCTCTGAGGATGTTACTTCAAATTGATCCTGGGAACAGGATCTTCTGTATTCTATGCTTCTGCAGTAAAGGGAACTTCCTCGTTTTCTTTCATTGCTTTTCTCTTGGACTTGCATAGATGAGCATGAACGTGTGTGTACAAATGTGTGTGTTCAGGTTCAAGTATACACATGTGCATGTGAAAGGCAGAGATCAGTGTAGCAATCAGAACTGCTCCCACTTTATTTTGGGGGGACAAGTTCTCACACTGAATCTGGAGCTGGCTGACTTAGCTAGACCGACTGGCCAGCAGGCTCCAGGAATCTGCATGTCATGTCTCTGCATTCCCAGTGCTGGAATTACAGGTGCATACTCCTGGCCCAGTGTTGTGGGATATTTGTAAACTTTGTGAAGGTCTATTGCTGTGATTGTTGTAATAAAAAGCCAAGGTAGGAGAAAGAATCTAGGTGAGAGAGAAGGCGGGTTGGGGGGAAGACATGGAGGAAGCCATCAGGATGGGCAGTGCACGACAGAATACAGATTAATAGGTATGAGTTAATTTACTTTATAACAGCTAGTTACAAACAAGCCTAGGCTAAGGCCAAGCTTTCATCATTGATAAGTCTCTGAGTCATTATTTGAGAGCTGATGGCCCAAAGAAAAATCTGACTACAGCCTTAAAAAACAAGAACAAAAACAAAACAAACAAAAAACCCTAGGTGCTGGGCCATCTAAAATCAGGTCTTGGGCTGGAGAGATGGCTCAGCTGTTAAAGGCTAGGCTCACAACCAAAAATATAAAATCAGGTCTTCATGCTTCCATGGCAAATGCTTTACTAACAGGGATTTCTCCTTAGCTCCATTTGTCTGTTTGTTTATTTTTCAGACAGATCCTCCCCATTTAGCCCAGGGTGCTCTTGATTCATAATTCTCCTGCCTGAGCCTTGTGAAAGACAGGAATATAGGCATTTACCAAAACACTCAACTCCTCCTGGCAATTCTAAATGTTCCATAAAGATAACAGGACATCTATACACATCCATTCAGCCACAAATCTAATTCTGTCAATATAGTATCTCAGTTTTTTAGATAAGTTGGTGTCATTTGAGAAAGTACAAATTAGGACCTATAGAGTCGGAAAGCCAAAAGTGAATATAATATGTTCAATATGCGGTCAAGATCAAGCACAACAGCTTCTGGATTTGCTCATCCTGAGTTCTATAAATGATATAGTCTATTTCTTACCTGGACCTCCTTATTTCCCTTGCAGTGATCATGAAACATTGAGGATTAACACCACAACTCACTAAAGCCAGACCTCTCTGAAGATCCAACAATCTGCAAGCCTAAATTCCTGCTGTTTTGTCCTAAACATATCTCCTTGCCACTTGAGAAAGAAACAAATAGTAAAGATTCTGAAAATAAAATCCTTTAACCACGGAGGATGGGGTTTCTCAGGTTGTTGAGTGAGTCATATCTTAATTGTTAAGACTTTTACTACCTATCTAGACTGCTATGGTTCAGATGCAGTTCTTGTAACCGTGGACAAATTATTAAAAGTTCTTACACCTTATTTTTCTATACTAATAAATGGAGGTAGTTCATGCTTTATAGTTTTACTAGAGATGACATGTTAGATAATCCTCTTCAAAGAGCATCAGAAAAGGCCAAACTTCTCTAAGTCTTAGACGATATGATTACCCATGCTGAAGGAATGGCTGTCAGTCTCCACTCAGCAGGGAAGAACTAAAGTGTGACCCAAATCCGGACACAGCAGGAGTTAACTGGTCTACATTAGGGAGGCATGGACACAGATTTCAGGTTTTTCATGAGAGGTTATATAAATGTAATAGGTTCCACCCTAAGGAACAGGATTGCAACAAAGGGCAGGGTACAGTTGTTTCTAAAGAGGAGAGGACTAGAACATGTCACCAAATCCTCCCGCAAATTTTACAAACTACCTTGGCTTCTGTCGAGCCAGGAAGAAGAGTATCTTACCCCCAAAGGATAACACTGCACAAGACAAAAGCTTCCAAGCATACAAAGTACTGGAGGGCTGAGTGTGGAGATCCCTGCAGCACAGAGGAGAGACACCATGGCCCATTGTATAACTTAGGACCGCAGTCATAGACCTAAGGATATTTTGGCCCAGTAAATATTCTGAAACTCAGGGTATCATGTAACCTCTCTGTGACTCTAAACAACACCTTCATCAGAAATTTATCAATATGTTCTTTCCTACTTTCGGGAATGACAAAGTAAACTGTTTGCATCAATCAATCACCTACAAAAAGTGTCTAATAGATATCTACTGAATGAAATTGTATTGATTTCTCTGACCATATGGCAGAAAGGAACTTCCTGATGGGCAATCAATCCCAACCCATCTGGAAATGGACCAACTGGACTAAAATCCCTACTGACATGAGAAAGGTTGAGGAGTTTTTGAAGAGTGCCTTTCCTCCTTAGCTGGCAGAACACACAGTTCCTGGAATGCTTTTTTTTTCAAGCTTTGTACAAACTGATCTAACTTAATTGATTAATACGTTGAATTCAATGCCAAAGATACCAAGTTTTTCCGAGTATCATCTGGTCAGTTTATAATGATTCCTCCTAAGAAAAAAACCTACAAAATTTTGCTCTTTTAAACTCCGTGAGTTAACATTTTACTTCCTTGAAATTTCAGTTTATTTTATACTAATTTTGCACTTAAACCTTTTAAATATTTTGTTGGACAGTTT